AAAAATCTTAAAACACACTGTAATGTTGGTGAGAAAAACACAGAGTACAAATAAAGGAAATTAACCACAAGTAGAAAACTTCCTATCAAATGCACGCAAGAGACCCCGAGGGTGATGATGAAAAGAGACAGAAATTAATTTAAAACTTTCTGTTGGATTTTTCCCAAAAGTGAATCTGCGAACGGGAATGAGAGTGATGTGAGAAAATATCTGAGCGAGGGTGGAAAGTCAAGGTGGAAGAGGAGAACAAAAACACGACTCGTCCAACCCGAATTCATCATTTCGTGTCGGAAATGAAAATTCTTGCTGTACTTTTTTTCCCACTACACCCTTACCCAACCCTGACGGTGGCTTCAATTGTTCCAGCCAGCAAAGTGAACTTTTTCTTCGCATAGTATGTGCTTGGGGATGACCACGTATTTCTTTTACAAAGCAATTTTCAATTTTCTGTGGTTGGCAGGACGATTCTATTCACTACTCGCTTCGTTGGGGGCTATGGATGTGTTTTTGATCGGACGAAAAATCCACCACTTCCTTCGCCTCCCGCCCCACCTGAACCGATAGATACTTTTATGATACTTTCGTACACTGGCTGGCTCTCGTATACCGGTAGAAGCATCAACACAGTGGACCACACAGCTAAGGCCCCGAAATGATGGAAAAGCAATTTCGTTTTATTGAAGCGTGACAAATTTGTGACTTTCCACCACACATTCACCGCTTTTACATCCATCACAGGGCACCACATACAAAGAGATTCTTGTTTTATTAATTTTTTCTCTCAACATCCATCTCCACCCACATTTTCCTTTTTCTTCTGCCATGTGTCCCTTTTTGTGGGCTATACGGCTACCCTTACTGGTTCAGCACTCTGGACGCGTATGTTTTTATACTGTTGTGGATATTGAGAAATACCCCCATTATCCTGTTGATGCTAAAACAATAGATATGTACATATGTAATGTACATTGTCCAGTCGCAAACACCCACATAAATTTATATCAGTGGGAGCAAATTTCCAACTTGAACTTGTGTCATGGATGTATATTTAATGAAGGGGAAGCATACTTCAGTGGCCGAGAAATTGCCAAGAATATGGAATTGGTAGCACAAGTTTGAGAAAATATGTGTAAAAGCATGTCGCTATGAAAAACTGTTTTTCATTCTTTCCGGGACCTTCGTCACACAGCTCATGAACCTTTTATGGATTGTGTGGCCAATGTGGAGGAGAAAGACACATAGACACACTACATAGACCACCCCCTGATTTTGCAGAATAATAAATAAAGTGTACATGTGAAAAGCAATCGTTTTCTTTCAAATGTCCGATTTTCCGACTCGTCCCTCGGGGCAATATTCCCTTAGCTTGATTTCCGAAGAATTTCCTACTTCACAACTTGTATTTGTGTCCCCTGGACATGCTTTTCGTTGTAATTTTATAAAATTCCCCTCTTTTGTATCTCTCTATTCAGGTCTATTCTTAAATAAAGTATGAAAATTTACCTTTCTCACCTTTCTAGGCACCCAATTTCCAAAACATAATGTTCACTAGTTCATAACATTTTTAAAAAGCCCGTAGATCTGTGGCACTTCTCTCTAAAAATGCTATATACTAGAAGTTCACAACAAATCTTATTAATGCGAAGTTTAAAGAACAAAAAAAATCTCAGGATAGAAGTTTTATGTTTTTCTCACAGCCTGGATATTCCGAAAATCTCCTCCAATGTACCATCATTCGTAATTTAGTTCATCTCATTCACCTTAACATGATATTGCACAATATCCTTCCTGTATAATTTATGTAGCGCCATTTATATTTATATATTTTATGAGGCAATAAAGTTAGGAAAAATTTACGACTTTACTCATTTCCCACCTCATAACGGATGATATTTATTTAACAATGTATTATACATATATCCAGCATTCGCTCTGTTACAACGACGCCCCAAGAGTGGGAAAACGCATTACATATGGATATTGGATACACAAAGAAGAACGAATAGGCAATATTTGGAATATTCGAAGGCGAGTCGATCCAGAGTGAAAAAAGGCAATGCTCGCTTTTTGCAGAATAATATTAAGTACATTGTTTTCGTTCTGATTGCCAGCCTTTATGTACTTGATGTTCTCATCCCTCATTCTATACATTCGATGGCAATATATCTCCCAACTTACTAACATCATTAACTACAAATTGTTAGTGATATAACGAAAAAATGTCAGTTTCCCTGTTTCACTTACTCCTTATTTTCTCCACACTTGTGTTCAACGTACACATATCTATTTTTCCTCTGTGAATTCCCGCAGACAATGTGCTAAATATATTATATTGCCTCAAAATAGAAGTTAATGACCCCCTTCATTTACGTCATAGAGGCATGCAATCAATATTTTATGTAACATTATTGTATACTCTCTATCTTACACCACCCCAAGATGCTTTTTCATTTTCCTCTTTTGTAGCGGTTTCGGCGAGTGCTACATACACAACATATGTACATGTATACCTACGTTGATATACTGCGAATGTGATGCGATGGAACTGGAAAAAGGAAAATATGTGGAGCAATTTTTCTCTTTACATAAAGAAAAATAGGAGTTAGAGAAAAAACGAGGCAAAATTGCGCCATTTTGTGTTCCACCCACTCCTCCTCAGAAGCCCGCCCAGAGCATGAGTAAATATTTCACTATGAAACCCCAATGAAAAATTCATTGTGGTAACAATATAATTTTTTTCATAACTTCTGCTCAGCCCTCATCATAGCATCGCACCACCCTCGCCGCGTGATATTTACTCTACTGGTGGGTTGCGTCATCCCTTCTGATTTTCCCTTCTTCCACAGTACATAGAACCCAAATGAAGGGTGGAATAAGAAGACAGTGAGAATGGCTATCGCAGTGGTGGAATTTTATAACTATAAAAAGAAACATATTGCATGTCCAGCCAATATAGTATCTGGAACTTCTAAATTCTCTCCGCCTACACGAGAGAAAAAAAAAATGGTAAAAGAATGATCCCTATATGCTGCCTTGTTGTTCTTATTTCTTCGGCAAGAGCTGGCTGAAATTTTGCTGACCAGTAGAGTCTGCAAAACGTGATCGGATTCCCAAATAATTAAACTTAACACCATAGATATTCTCCTGGAATTATCATAATATCATTTCTTCTTCATACAAAAATACATAGTTACAGATTAAACTGAAATCATGTGATAAAAAGTATTATTTCCGCTTATACAAAGTGGAAATTTTACAATAATCATGAACAATTAAATATATTTAATAAAATCAAGAAATCGTCTATTTATTTACGTAATTTTCGATGCGAACCTGTATTTGCGCACTGGCAGGTCCTAGAATTGTAGGCCAGTCACGTAGTCTGTTTGCAGCAGCGAGGAGAGATGAGGTTGACCTTAGCAGCGCACTCCCATGGTATCCCCCTTTGATTACTTTGCTCCAAGAGGAAAATTTATTGACCGGTTCTTCATGTGGGTGAATGCGGAGGGTGGAAGAATATGGAAAAGAAAGAGAAATGGCGAGGAAGTGTCTGTGACCACTCGAGAGGGTGATTCAGGGTGGAAGGAGTAATGTATTTTATCTCATTTAATATTTCATGTTGCTATATATGTACATACATACATGAAGCGCAAACATTTATGGGAATGTGGAAGGATGTTGCTCAAAATAAATGACAGCAAACAAATGGCAAAGTCGAGAGTCTTCACGGCGGTCATTTGTATGCACAATTAATTATTCATTTCATTTTCCAGCTCTACTCAATTATTTATTGCAAAAATCTATTGTTATTTTGTGATCAAATATAATATGCGCAGTTTTGATTTGTGAAATTAATTCTGAGATATTAACAAAAAAGAGATCCTTTCCTTTGATATTCTGTTAATGGTTGAAGAAGAAGAAATCAAATGACTATTGAATGCGTAAATTTTTCAATAATTTCTTCTATGAAAATATGTAAAAGTTTAATTGAAATTATGAATTTTACACTTTGAAGCCAAAGTTTTCAGCTAATCAATACAACACTCATAAATGCATAACATTGCATCTCGTACAACCACCGTGAGCACAACTCGAAAGCTCCTCTCTTAAAATCGCTCACATAGACTCGAACCTCTTTGCAAATCGGAATAACAGAACAAGACACTCGTATTCATCGAGCGTGCAAAAATTCAAATTCATCATTTACAATCAGTGAGCCGCGATGGATTGAATGTAAATATTTTTTAATGATTAATCACATATTTATTCATCTGAATATGGGTCACAGTAGCACGCGGGGTTGCGGTTCGATTACGATACATAACTTGAGATGCAACATCAACAGACCTAGGAATATGGGTGAACGTGGAGAAGTCGGTGAGACATTAAAGAAACGACATGTGTAACTGCAAATGGCACATTTCTGCACGATCCACGCAAGATCGTAAGAATCAGGCTGCGTTTTCGAGAACAGTAGATCATTGATGAGAGAGTTGTAAGACCCAATTTGGCATGATATAAAAGATTTTATTCACTTTCTAGTAAAAATATGTACACAAATTTTAAAAGAGTCATTGGATAGATTTAGATTTAACTAAGTAACAAAAATAATTTAAAATTAAGAGGATAGTTTTTTTTTTAAATACGATCAGATTTTCATTTATTGGATTGTCTGACTTTCTTTTATGAGTAATATTTTGGTCTGATAGCTGTTTCACTGATTTCATTACCATCCATTAAATAGTATTAAATTAATTAAAACAAATTCCTCGCTTTTATTACACATGTAATATTTAGTAGTAAAAAAAGTTTAACAATTTACTTAAAAATACCGTCAAATAAATTAGCGTTATTGAGACGGAATCTGATTGGGATAGGGATTCATGCGATGACTGTGTTGGGAGTTCTGGGGATTGGCAAATCTTATGGACTGCAAGGTTTGCCATCGAGGAACAGGGAGAGGGGCTTTGTGAAGGAAGCAAGATCCTAGTCAAGTTGGCTTAGTTCATCTGGGAGGTTGGATAGTGCTCGTAGTAGTATCTGTAGGGGTCGACATACTGGGCGCTAGAAGACTTCACTGGACGCACGAGGTATGTGTTGCGTCTGTTGTGATCACCTGAGGCGTGCACCTGGAAGCTGGTCTCCTCGTGATGGTCGCTGGAAAAGATCTTCTTAAGGGCGATAATCCCAGCAATTGTGAGAGCCACCTTGCTAATAACCAGAGCCTTCCCAGCGATGGCAGCCAGAGCCTTAAGACCAAGTGGTCCAGCGATCCCCATAGCGGTGAGCAGAGCAGCCATAACATATCGACCATACTTCTTACCAGCTTCGCAAAGGAACAGCCAACATAGAAGAGAGAGAGAAGAGTTAAATTATTCGCATTTCTGCGCTTCCTGGCGCTGCTTTTGGGGCTGGAGAGAAGAAAATGTGTACTTACCCTTACCGCCCTTCTTCAGGCCGCCGCCGCCACCGCCAAGACCGCCGCCACCACCGCCAAGACCGCCGCCGCCGCCGCCTCCGCCGAGATGCCCGTGACCATGGCCGCCGCCAAGACCACCGTGGCCGCCCTGCCGCGCCTCGCTCAGGTCCACCTTGAGTGTGTGGGAGCGGAAGAACTTGTCGAGCTTCTGAACCAGGGCGCGGTCGATGCCATTGAGTCCGTTCAAGAAACGTCCCTCCGCGATAGACGGGGTTTGCTCCGTCTCATTCTGCTTGACAAAGGAAATTCCGTCAAGCACTGAGAGAGATTCCTGCATAGGAGACACACGCATTTAGTTAGAGAATGAATCACTTGTGGCTGCAACTTGATGGATGACCTGATCGACGGCTTTTGAGATGGCGGACAGTGCCTTTCCTTTTAAGCAACCGACAATGTCATTCTTATCCTGGCAGTCGTCATAAACTCGCTGGATTATTCCAAATTCAGGTCCAAGCCAACTACTCTCTGACGATGCGGACACAATTGACGTGATCAGTGCAACAAACACCAGTAATTCCACTTGCCACCGATTCGACATGATGTTTTGTTCCTTGACTGCCTACGTGCAACAGATTAAGGAAAATCTAATGCACTATGAACATATAACTCCACAAATATCACACTTGCAGCGTCTGTTCCCTCGTCGAACTCTGCCTTTTCTTAATCCCAAGTGGTGGCAGTTGATACTGCTGTTGATGAGATCTCAATGAAGACTGACGCTGATTACGATATTTAACGGCTTTTAAATGCACTTAGATGCTCTGCTTAATTTCGATATTAGCCGTATTATGCATCCGCATGCAGCCCTCTCCCCCATCCCAAGATATACTCACTATAGCGTGAAGACATGAGATGCTGTTTCTTGTGTGCGCGCCCAGCAAACTCATCTTGTTAATAATTGTTTTATCATACACCCCACCTTCTAATGCCCAGAGAATATCACAGCTGAAAGAGTTCTTTCACTGTTTCTTTTTCTATTTACATGGTAGAAGAGAAAGAAACATTGCGCATAATGACTTGCTAATCACAATCATATTGCAGCTTGTTGTCAATCGCCAGCTCAATTCATCCTTCACATAATCAGCTGTGGAATTTGCTTAAGATCATAGCATATCAAGTAAGCCAATTGGTTTCCTTCAGCAATTCAGCATTCTTGTGACAATTCCACAGCAAGGTGGTGATTTATTGATGAATCCAGTGTTGCCGAACAGAGCAAGAAGATCCAGTGATCATGTGGAATGGGCACACAGTGTGATATGAGAGATTACAATTTCATTTTCACAAACGCCTCGAAAGGCACACTGCTCGAGTGATTGGTATGTATCACAAACGGGTTGGGTGAAAATTTCAATCTCAAAATATTGGAGATTTGTTAGGAAATCTTGCAAATGCGATGAACATAATAGCGTCACGCCAGGATTAATAAAAGCGCAGCAAAATCGCGTTATCTCTCAAACATTTTTTCTCACCTGAATTTTCTCCCCCATTTCATAGATATTTGCTCATTTGACCGATTAATTTCCCTAGTTTTGCGTGCATCGATGTGATTTTCTCTCTCTTCATCTCTCCAACCTTGTTTGCTGCCTTTGCGCCTCATCAGAAGTCCAAACATCGCGCGCGCAAAAGAGTTTTCATTTTGTGAAACGCATCACTTTGTTACACACCAAATATCATTGGCGGATTGAAGCGAAAATGCATCTTATTGCCACAGAATTGGGGTGAAATGCAACACACCATCTCAGTTCTAATCTCATTATTATTTTAATTACCAAACGTACAAGTGAAATAAAACTATAAGTGCCGATGTGTTATACACAGACATTATTTCCTACATTTACACACATTCTTCTCGATGATGAGCCTGTGCTGAAGACAGTCAGAGATGTGATCTCTCAAGATTTTACTATTGAAATCCAGCCACCGCAGCTCGTGGGCTTGTGGGTGGGCAACGGGAGAATTGGAACGGCAAATTTAGCCTTTTTACCGCCTCTCACTTAACGATTGATAGTAATTATTTAAGTCTTCAAACGTTGAAAGATGCCTAATCAGATCTTTAAAGCTAACATTATAAAAAATGCTTACGATTTTCTTTCAAAGCTGCTTCATTTAATGGAATTTGAAAAATTTTCACTTCTCAGAACAAGATATGAAAAGTTGTCACTTAATGTTTACTGAAAACTTCTAAATCAAACATCTAGAATGTTGAGGATTCGCTTGAAAAATCGTCTAATGATCAAGCATTTGCTCTTGCATTAGATTAACTGCAAGTGCATACAAGAGATATAATTATTCTCTCAGCAAAAGCGAAATATGCATAAATTAAACATAAAGCAGAACAGAATTCAACCGTTCGACTTTTATTATAGACCTTGAAAACTTCCTTTAGTTTTTACAAGCAAAATTACTGTATTTTGTCAAATTTATTCCATTGAATTGCGAGAAGATCATATTTTACACCACGAATTGATTTTCTAATCTCCCGCCTGAAAGTGCGGTGGGTGCACTCACTTTCTTCCGTGTTGCCATATGCGAAGTGACAGCATAACGAAGTAACAAAATCAAGCGGCAATCGCCGCGCGAAAAGCATGTGAAACGGTCAAAATCAAGTCATTCTCAAAAGGAAATTGGACAAGAGGAAAATGAGGATCTTGCCTATTGCTGTGAGCCTGTAAACGTAATGATTGATTGTGATAACAGAAAAGTAAATGTCAAATAATAATTTACTTTAATTTTAAATCTTATTTGTTTTAATTTAATCGCGGTAGAAGATTTTGTTTACTGCAAAATACTGAAACTAAAATGACAAAGAAAGAATATCAAGAAAAACACTGTAATAATTTCTCATATTCTTTTTTTTATTAAAGTATCATTCACTTACTGGATATTAAAGTTTTATCAGAAATTTACAATGTTTACATCTCCCAACCCAATCGCGTCACGTTGTACACTAAAACTAACATCAGCAAAAGTTAAAAATAAAAATTTTTACGCAAAATGCCCAAGAACGTTTAAATAATTTGGCACACATTCAATTGCTTTCGCAACAACAAATATGACGATATCTTGTTCAAATAGCAAAAATATGCATCAACAGTAAATTCATTGCGAAATCCTTAAATTGTATCTTACTAAACATATTTCTTAATCTAAAGTAAATTTATAGTTTTATTTTAAAAGTATCTGGAACAATGCAGCGTTTTCTTCTCTAACAAAATAGAACGTGCTCAAAATTAAATCAAAACTTCGCGTGACAAGCACAGAAGCTCCTTATGACTTATCACTGACTCCATTTGAAATCTTCTTCCTCTGCATCCTCTCAGCGGCGAGGAATCGCAGAGTATCGTCAGCATCTCCAGCCTTCTTCGATGAAGAGGGAGTGCTGAATCCATTCGTTGTGATCGGCTTAGATTTAGGCGCTTGCGAGGCTGTTTTCTGTGGTTCAGCGTCGCCAAATCGGTCAATCGTGGTGGCCAATCCTTCAGCCACCAGCTCTTGGCCAATATTGATATCCTCCCCGTCATCAGTCGTGTCGAACAACTCCACTCCGGGCAGAGGCGAGCCCTCACGCTTCGCCGTTCCCTCTGACGCGGGATTCTTCTCTCTGTAGTTCACAACGCGCGACAAGAGCTTCCGCCACTGCGCCACGTGCGTGAGCTCCTCGAAGCGCCTGGTGGATCGCGGGCTCCAGTCGGTGCTGTTGTCGATCGACGCGGGCTTCACGTTGGCCAGGAAGCACTCGATGGCCTGGAAGCGCAGCGTCAGGAAATCAGTGCGCAGCTGGAAGATCTCGTTCGTCTCCACGTACGCACTGTCGCCGTAATCGACAAAATAGATGTCCAAGACAACTTTGCCGTCGTTGAACTCATTGGGCAGAATGGCCACAACCTCAGCACGATACCACTTGTTGTCCCACTTGAACATGGCAGCGACTATCTGGCCGAGGTAAGGCTCTCTGATCTTGTGCAGCTCGCGACTCCCGCTCTGATCATAATACTCCGTCATCGTGTTCACCAGGTGATCCAGCTCCGCGCACTGCGGCCCAATCATTTGAACCCAGAATTTGCTGGGCGAGGCGATGGCCGACACATAAACCTCCATCTGACCGTCTGGATTCGTTGAGCACAACTTCTCAGCCTTCGGCGGCATCACTTCGCGTGGAGATTGCGAAGAATTGCTGCTGTTGCTGCCGCCGCTGCGATGATTCAATCGCGGCTCTCGCTTCTCCAGAACTCGCCTCGCCTCTGCGTCCTCTCTCACCTTCTCCTCAATCAGCACCTTCGCCGTGTTCACCTGAGCCTGCGTCCCGGAGATCATGACGCACCGCTTCGTGCCATCGCCTCGATCTCCCGACTCCACAGACACCTTCGCCTGGGATTTGCGACAGATCTCCTGCAGCGCCTCACCACAGCGCCCGATGATCTTCCCGCAAGCGCTCTGTGGCACAACAACCTCCTCAGTGATGGTCAGAGGCCTTGATGCCAGCTGCTTCACGATCTTCTGGGCATCTTTCACGGCAGCCGCTTCGCCGCTGATTGTGCACATCTGACTTGAGTCGTCCTTGTCGCGGAAGGAAATGCGTGTCTTTGTCTTCTCTTCGATGGCCCTCAAACTGCCGCCCTCGCGGCCCACGATCAGTGGCACCACATCATTCCTCACCAGCACCTCGACGCTCACTGTCGGCGGAGCACCCACGCCATCCGGAAGGGTCTGTGCGTCACTGGCCCCTCTCGCCGGCTTCTTGGCAGCATCGCGCTTCCGCAGATACGCGTAGATAAGCGCCCCACTGATGCCGCAAATGGAGATGCCCAGGAGCATCGGAAGTACCGGCGCCTTCATTGTCAGTCCTCAGCTGTGCCCTAGAGAGAGGAAAACAGCGAATTAGCGCGAGCCACAGAGCAAACTGAAGATTGTTTCCCGAGTATCGCGTTCTGTTTGAACAAGTCATTACATTTGAGGCAATCATCTTTCACATCTAATTTTAACCAAGTGACGAAATCACCAGAATCTATCACAATTATGCAATAGAGAAAACCTCTTCATCCGCATTTCGGCATCACTCGATCACATTCTGGCCATCTTTCATCGAAGATGATCAACAGAAAAGGAGGCTTTGCTGTTTATTCTCTTTCCGGATAGGACGTCATGTGACGCAGCAAGGAAAATTCCATAAGTAACCTCACACTTTGAATTTTCTTGGCTTCCACCTGATTGAACGTCTTTCGCACAGATTCTCTATGATGCCATGAGTTTGTCTCACAGTTATTTTGGATGGAAGTGAATTTATCTTTGATACTGATAATGACACTGTCTAGCAAAGCTCCTCGGTAAATTTCAAGGTGATGAAGATACCTTCTCAATAACAGCGATACTCACCGTGCGCTGGAGAACGGACTCATAAAACGATTGAAGGGAAGTGTTATCACTCGCGAGAAATAGGATTATAAATGAAATACTCAGCGAGAAATACTTCTGTGCACTCTTTCGCAAAAACCACTTTCGATTGTCAACATTGGCTGCGCCGCTCTCTTTTGTCCAATAAGAAAGGTTGTTCAGTCAAGGAACATTCCGATGAATTGTCGTGCAACCAGCGAAACTGTCTAACGATCTTCCGAGAGATTTTTTTGTATTTAGTCCTTCGGCGATTAAAAAGTCAAAAACATAAAAAATAGAATGTTTCTAGTCAAATTGTCTCAAGATTTCGGGTTTATCTTAAGGTTAGCATAATTTATGTCAAATTATGATTTTCCTTAGTATCCGGATGTCTTATGATTTTGGGATTTAGGCTAGTCGAATTGGGAGAGGCGCATGGACAAAGTCTTTGTAGGGGTGCTTTTCGAGGACGTCATATAATTTTCTGCACATAGAGTGAAACCTCCCAAAAACATGTGAAAAGCCCAGGATAAGAGGACTCACAGCCGAAGATGGCAATAAAGGATATAGCCCGCTTGTCAAGGCAACACCGCACAATCTACTGTTACCTAATTTTAAGTATTTGGATATTCTTGTTGATCGCTGGTAAGATTCCCAAGGACGTTGCTTTTGCTGGAGCCCCAGATTCTTATTTGTGCCATATTTTGCGCTTTCCAGGGATGTACAAGTACATCGGAACGACTTTCCACATCCAGAACTATGGTGGCGGCAGAAACTTCTACGGTAGCCCTCAAGGGCTCAGTGAGAAGAGTCTTGGGCAAGGGAAAAAGTACGTCCAAGAGTGCAACAGCCCGAGTGGAATTGCTGTGGAGATGGAGGGTGGCTCTCTGGAGGGATGGTCTCTGGCAGGGGTGCTGCTCCTTATCAGGCACGGTGACAGGGGTCCAATGGAGCACGTCCGCGGAATTAACACCATCAACTGCGGATTCGACGAATCTCTGCCTCTGCTTCATCGCTACAAGGCTTTCATCGCGAACTCCACGATCAGCGCATCTTTCAGTCACTCCGTGTGGCTAAAGAGTGGTCCTTTCCACGGATTCCCGCTGCTCCCGCCGCTGGAGAGAGTGTGCCTGCTTGGCCAACTGACGTACAGGTGCCAGGAGGTGCGGGGAATCTTGAGAATTCTGTGCACTAATTGACTTGTATTTGTTTGCAGAGGTTTGGCGCAACACTTGAAGATTGGCGAGATCATGAGACAAGCTTATGCCGGACCTCTGGGCCTGTTGCAGCGCCAGCAAACTGTTCCTGCTACGAGAATTCTGACCAATTCGTCTCTGGATGGAAAGAATGCCGCCAACGGCCTTCCTCCGCCGGAAACTGATGTTATTGTGTACTCCACGCGATATCGGCGGACTTTCCAATCCGCCATGGCTCTTCTGTATGCCCTTCTTCCCTTGGAACGTTGGATGGGCCTGACAATCAGGGAGAGTCACTCTCTGTCTTTCTGCTTCACGGACTGTGCGTGTCAGAGGGCGGATCAGCTGAAGAACCAGGCGACCAAGGAGGAAACGGCAGCTCTGCACCAACATCCAGCCATTTCTGCCGTAGTTCACTGGATTGGGCTATCTCTGCTGCAGAATCCCTCAGTGCAGATCAATCCGCTGGAAGTAAGGGATGCCGTGCTGGCGCTCATTTGTCACGATGCCCCGCTGCCGTGCCGGAAGGCACGAGAACACCCCGTGAGGAACACTCCGGTCCTGCCCACCACACCGGACAACAGTGATGTGATCAACATTGACCAGGAAGACGGACAGACCTCGGTGAAGGACAACACGAACGAGGTGGAGGACGTGGAGCCGGAAATTGAGCCTGAAGGTTGCATTGAGGAATCTCACGTTGAGGCGCTGATATCCTTCACCAACTGGCAGGGCGCTAAGAAGAACAGGAATCCGAGCAATCGCAAAGTCGGTCTTCTGCGCGCCTACGGACTCATTCGCAACATCGTGGGCAACATGCTGAAGATGATTTCCGGGGAGAAGATCAAGTTCGTGCTGTACTCTGGCCACGACAGAACTCTGCAGTATCTCACGGCCGCTCTGGGACTCCAGGCGCAATCCTTCTTCATTCCCTATGCCGCCAGGATGGCCTTTGAGGTGTACAAGAGCGACAACGAGGCTCAGTTCTACTTCAGGGTCGTGTACAATGGCAAGGATGTGACCAATGGCATTTCCTTTTGCGAGGGCGGACGGAGTCTCAGAGTGAGTCGCGGCATTCGCGGCGTGAAGGCGGACTTGTGCCCCATTGAGAACATCATCAGATTCATCCACGATGACTACTTTGTTTCCCTGAATGCCACAAACTACAAAGACGCGTGCAGCGTGCACCACAAGAATTATGACTTCTGAGCATTTGCCACGTCCGGAACATCCTGTCTTGTATTTAGTTCAAAGGAAAATGTTATTGTGATATAGAATGATCTCATATCCCTCTCTATAATAAATTATTTATCATGTATAAAGAAGAAATTGATTTTGAGTACCATTTGCGTACAATATGAGATTAATTTTACACTTAGCGTATACTTCGTGAGTACAACACATGTGTGGGTTGTATGAGACTCGTCGGTGAGATTTGTTCGGTATCGCTTCTCGGCCTAACGGCTAAGATCAAAGTGTAGTATCTGTTCTTATTAGTTTAACACCTAATAGATCCCTCATAGAGGGACAATGTTGTTAAATTGATTTTTGGAAGCCGGCGAAGTGCTAGGAGCTTGCTCCACCTTTGCCACGGGTTGGCCTGGTATTGCAGTACCGCCAGGATCGGCCCACTTATAAACTCAAAAACACTCTTCTCTCTCTCTGAAAGTCAGAGAGGGTTTTCTCCTCGTAAATGAACCAGAGGGAAATTCTCACATCTCATGTGTGGATTGTGAAACCACATGAGACTCTTTTCTCTGCTCTCGTGCAAGAAAATCAATTTACTTTTTCTGCCAGTCAACAACAGAATACTTTACCTTTCATGTGAAAGTTCCTCAAATGCAGACTCCGTCGAGAGCGTAATTGATTTGTGACTTCAGTCGAAATCTCCAATTCGCAGTGAAATGTTCTTACGACTGTTCTTCTTGTGTACCATCGCGATCTTTGCAAGCGCAGCAATGCGGGCTGACTTGCGTCCGACAGAAGCTCCCCGTCGAGACATTCCGGAGGAGCGTCGCGCGGAGGAACTCAAGTTCTACGAAGTGGACGCCTTTGGGGATGACTTCACGGATTTTGGCGCCCAGACAGGACCTCGAGGCGCCTTCACGTGGCGCGCCAACTTTCCGCTGTACACCAAGCACGCTCACGGACAGCACAGGAAGTGATAGTTCGGTCGTGTATTTTTGTATCTTTATTATTTTGATAATGATGTTACCACAATTAAACAAGAACTCAATTTTTTTTATGTTAATCATATTCATTCTCCTGTTCTTTTCCCCCCGTCTGTCTATCGATCCTTTCAAAGATTCCTCAACTTCCTACGCTTCTTCGTGTCTCTCTCTCTCACGTTTTGTCAATGGCAAAAATAATATGAAATTTTGCTCCACAATTTCACACTCTTTTCCTCCACATGTTTTTTTTTACATTCTGATAGTTCACTTCTCTTTCAATTAATGCTTTTTTATTGTATTAAAATTGTACAACACAAAATTATACTTTTCACATTTTTCCTATGATTCATTCTTTAAATATCAATTAAATAAATCTCTCTTATCTTCCAAGGCCTTTGCTTTTGGCGTGATTTTGTGATTTCCTCTCCAACGAATTTTCTTGCTAGAGGACTTTTTGAGAAAGTCTTCAGAATTCTACCTTGACACCTCAGATGAAATGAACATAAATATTCTCTACTACATTATTGTGTATTTGAGTGTGTGTTCCAAAAGGGAAAGATGCTTGAAGTCATGTCACTATGATGGGCTGTTCTTCGCTCGGCTGCAGAAAATGATGGTCAATTGAAGAGTCAAACGATAGGCTGGAGTAGAAAAGTACGATGGCAAATGGCACAAAATTGATTGTGTTTTGTGTCACGCAGTTGGATATTTCGTCTCTTAATAAGTTTTTCTTTCTTTCTCGCAACAATAGAACTAAAAGAAAATAAAATCACCTAACATAGCAAATTACTCTCTATCATTTTCCCTTTTCACTCCGTTTACAGAGGTTTTTCTCTTCTTCAAAATTCTCTTAAATTTGATGCCATGTCGCATTTTGGTTCGTACGTAGAAAAATTGTGTTTTACAAAAAGTATTCCACTTAATGTTGCTCTCCTCCCTTTCCATCCTCTTGTATATCTTATTTAGTTTATATACTTTGTGAGACACATTCTCATCAGTTTTTTTTATTTTCTTCTATTTACTCCCATAAAGTGTGTTTACTTCTTTATATATATATTTTTCTTCATTTAAATCTAGAGATTGAACATCGTCATACTTGCAAATTCATGAAACAGTTCATTCTTTTATTTTTAAAACAATACACTGAAATTGAAATATAAAAAAGAGATGAAATACGCAGAATGTGGCAATGAAAAGGCCGTGAAAAGCAGAGAAAGAATTACTGGTGATGAGTTGAAATTTTGTAGTTGAGTATTTTGTATTTATGTATTTTATCCCACAATTTAAATGTTCATAGCAAAAAAAATCATCTTATAGCTTTACTAAGCCTACAAAATGCTCAAATGTTAAAATTTCCAAAGCATCACAGTGAACTTTCTTGTAGAAAAAACAGTTATATCGTCAAAGGTAAAGTAATAGCAAATGTCCTAAGAATCCGCATTTTCGATGCCACACTCTGTTCTTTTCTTATTTCTCGTGAATCGAAATAGAGGACTGTTGATTTTCTCGTTAAGGCGAAAAAAGAACCAAGTTCCATTCAAATTACGCTTAATTCTTCTGTTATTTACCGGCGATTTTTATCCCTCAACAATTTGAATGTATATAAATATAGTACATAATACAAATTTAGGTTTCTTTTCTTCTATTTTATTTACTTTCTCAGTTTTCACATTCACTCAATTCTGTATTTTTTTTTCTTTTACTTCAGCGATAAATTACCTTTTCGTCTAAATCTCATTATATTATTTCTTTTTTTTGTTCTTTATGACGATTTTTTCGTAAGTTTAATTATATTTTCTCCGCACGTTTCTCCTATGTGAATTCTAATTCATCATTTTCTCCCGCAATATATCTCGGTATCATTAATTTGATAATACATTTTCCTCCACTTTCTCCCCCTTTTTTTCGCGCATTTTGCCACCGTTAAGTAACCTGAACAATTCTTTCTCATTTGTCCGTTCTCAAATATTTATGGTCATATTCAATCGTTATTACAGGTTTAACTATTTTGTATTACTTTATCATTTATTATGTTTAATATGTATTGTATATAGAAAAAGCAGTCGTCAGAGATACAATTTGGGTCTGAATATACTTTATTTTACTTCCTTTCAATCCATTACAAGTTTTTTTTTTACTATTTATGACTTTAAAATTCTTCTGTGTATTTTTTTTGCCTAAATCGATCCAAACTTGCTTATTTCATCATTCTCATCAATACAAGAATTCTCTTTTGTAATATTGTTTTTTTTTCTTTATTTATCTTACACTTAACTATTTAAATTAAAAGGTGAATATGTCAAACATTTCTCATCAATGCACTCAAAATAATTTTGGGCAAAACGCTATAAGTTCTCTTTCTCAGTGAAGTTTGTGCACATTTACTTTAAATCTTCCTTTTTTTCACTTCACACTTTCTCTGTCAATTATGAAATTTCACAAGTGAATGATTTTTTTTTGTTTCTATTACTCAATTGCTGCGCGGATGAAGGTGAAATGTTTGATTTGATAAGAATATAAAAGATATTTTGTCCACAACGGGATGCATGAAGTTCTTTTTATTTCATTTTCTTGCTTTTCTTTAATAGTAGTTTAGTTCTATTTATTTCCTCTTGTTTTCTCCTCTATATTTTTTTCTTTTATATTCATCAATTCTGTTCAAAATAGATCATTTATACGTTATATGTATCTTCATCTGCTCTTTAACGCTGATTTAAAGGAAATAGTCTGGTGTTCTTCGTGTAACATGTGGCTCTCCACGACGAGGCGCAGGATCAAATTGAAGGCTGGAAGGATGAGAAAACACATTGAGCATCGGGGAATTCGAGTAACACAAGTGCAGCGCAAACTTGTGCAGTGTTGTACTTACAATGAAAATTTGAGTGAATCATCTAATTCCATCAGTGCCGCTTGGTTTCCGCAGCGATAACAGTAGTTGGGCGCTGAGAAGATTGTCACAACATTTCGGTCATGACACCAATTGTAGCCCTCCATCACGAGCTGATGAGCCCTCGAAACTAGTGTCAATCCATTTGTATGGTTGAACGTCTCCGAAATGTCCTGCAAATAGTCAGAGAAACCATTACAATTACTAGCTTTTTCATTGGCACGAATGTATTCAGGTCTTGATTGCATATCATTTCCTAATTGGCATTACTTTTCATGAGTTAAAATAGTCTTTTTCACACAAATTTCATCCATTCAACTTTCAAAGTCCAACTTTTAGGTATCCAAGAAAACAAAACATTAGCGCACTGACATATTTTACGTAGAATTCTGTCCCTAATCCCTATTAATAGGATGTTTATTGTTTGCAAATGCCTCTGTGTGTGAAAATTGTCTTCAATTTCTGCCTATTGATTGACAAGCGATCACAACAGCACATGTTGAGTAGATAAATGGATTCAAAAAGAGAGAGAGGGAAAGGTTTCTACTCACTTGGCCAAAAGTGTAGCCAGCTCCACGAGGTGAAATTCCCCAGCCGCCTCGGTCATCCGGATCCGACCACAGCAAGTCGCACATTGGGCCCTCGTGTGGCACTTCCTGTAGTCTGTCTAAGGCGCGAATATGATCTAAACTGTCAATTGACGGGCTGAGACCACCGTGCAAACAAAATATTTGGCCATCAACAAGAGCTGTCAGTGGCAGATAATCGAACAGGTCCGTAAAAAACTTCCACACATTCGCATTGCCGTACTTGCGAAGACATTCATCATAGAATCCGTAGACTTGGGTGATTTGACGTGATTCATGATTGCCACGGAGAATGGTTATTCTCTCCCTATATCTCACCTGCGAATAGAAGGAGGCAAAAAGAAAGAGAATGTGAGATTTACAAATGTTCTCTCCAACGAAGGACACACACAAGTACAAAACATCAGCAACGTGCAAAAATGTACGATGAAAACACCGAAAGAAAATCTCATTATCAACAGAGATTGTCTGCAAAAATTCACTGTTTAGATCGGAAACATTCGTATATCAGAGTTCAAATTTCAGAGAATCTATAAAAAATCGATAGTCTGTACTCAACACTCTGATAAAAAGCAATGATTTTCCCAGAAGAAAAACCCCATTCAGTCTCACCTTGAGCGCCACCAGAAGCGTCACTGTCTCAACCGAATAGTAGCCGCGATCAACGTAGTCTCCCATAAATAAGTAATTGGTGTCTGGAGATCGTCCTCCTATCCGGAACAGCTCCATCAGATCATGAAACTGGCCGTGAACATCTCCGCAAACTGTGACAGGGCATTTCACCTCCTGAACGTTTGATTCTTTTGACAAAATCTCTTTTGCCTGCAAAGAAAGACAAAAAAAAACAATGGGTGAGGAAGGAAAAATCATTAGAAACTGTATTCAAGATAAAGTGCAAAATTATCATATGGAAATTTTAAACTGTGTTTATCTCCCATTCATATTTCATTTCAAAGTCTCTCTCTCTCTCTCTATGCGTTATATATCTATCTATATAAGAGTATGTGCTCTTTTATCCAGTCATACAAGAAATATATTCTTGAATGTACAAGTTTGGAAGAAAGAACCGTAATTCTGCTGAATCGAAAAAATGCAGAACATTAAAATTATAATGTTAATATCACAGTTCATAAAAGCACACGCACGCACACATGCGAAAGTCACAGTCCTACAAACACTTCCTCAAGATTAATCTGTGCATCACCTTCCTTATCTTCACTCCAATTTGTTTATCATGTGACTCTTTTTATCTCGTATATACTATTTTCGCAAAAATGAGTCAAGGAATCGTGTGTGAAATTTATAATGTCACATATGAAAGAAAATCACAGACTAAATTTGCAAGAAAAAAAAGTTCGCGCTTTGATAAAAATATGTTAAAAATAGATGTTTTTCCCTCACTGTAGCATTTTCTCTCGCTCATTGAGCGAAAAAATCTATACTTTCGACACGATTATAGTATTATTGGGGTTGAATGTGAATGAAGAATGACCTCCACTTGTGAACTACTTTACAAGGCATAATTTTCGTGCTCTTCTGAATGAAACAATATGACTTCCTTTTCGCCACCAAACAGCCGAAACATCATACCGGAAGACCAAGAACCAACTGCACAAATGTAATTTGTAATACACACAGCAACACAGTTTCATTGTCTTTTGCCCATTTTCCACCCATCCAGAATATAGCGTGTGGTGAATTCATCACAAGCATGATTAGAGCAATTTTGTCATCTTTATCACACACTCACAAACTACGGAGTTTCACAACCTTTTGGAAAAACTTCCTTCATCGTTCTGTCATGGAAAAAAATTTATGTGTAACTCTCAAGGTTGCAAGACAATTTTCATATAGACAAAACAATGGGACAGATTTACAATTCATCATCCTGAATAACCGCATAAATTATAAATTTCACACAACTACAAAACCACTAGAAATTTTCCCTGCACAATTCTCTCTCTCTCTATTAATTTGAATGGGAATTTTCAATTTCGCACTTTATCAATATGTCTTTGGTGATAAGATAAGTCAAAACAAATAAGAATATCGTCATTTGAAAATATCAAACGACCTTGCATGAAGATTCAGGGAATTTTGCGAAATAAAGATTAAGAAATATAGTAAAATAACTGGGAAATTTCATCCAAATTAGGAACACATTTGATCGATTTTCTCAGCACTTTAACATACTCAATAAAATCTGCTCTTTTTCGCTTATGTCCCCATTTGTCAAGCAAACACAAATGATTTGTTTGAAAAAGGAAGAGTCAAATCACAGTTTATTTAGAATTTCAAGTCGAAAATTTGCCAAGAAATTAAATGTGCTAAAAATCGTTCCATAAATCACACTATTTCATTAATATCATCACACAATTCAAAGACTCTACATAATAGGTATACTTTGAGGATTACAAATATCTCAAAACGCTGTTTTCAAAAGAGGGTCATTACTCTTGAGCAGAAGAAAACAACGTGAAAACATTTAGGAAACCAGACCCGATTCACACATTCAGAGTGAAGACCTGCTGAAACTGAATCATTGATAACACTTACAACCAGTGATAACGCAACTTCTCGGAAAATCTACGTGATGTTTTGACATACAGACTTTTACAGCTAATCAAGTATTTAAATCGCCAGTATATTTTGCTCTTTCGATTCCACGTTTGATTGTTTCCTCTGTGTTGGGCAAACAAATAATAAATTTCTCTATTCTTCGCCGTCGTCGTGAGGAAAATCAATCTCATCGCATGATCGTCCATCTCCCTTTCACTGGTAATATTTCACCAAAAAATTGAGACTTCCCACGTGTTTTCTCGTGCTCTGCGGAGGAAATTCTATGAATATTTGATACTCCAGCTTGAATTATTTAACATTTGTTCAAGAGGCAAATCAACAGTGAGATTAAAGTGATTATCACGCTAGCGCCAGGACTACTTGGCGTTCGTCAGACTCTCCTTAACTCCTCATCAATGGAATATTTATACAGAAAAGTCTTATTTTTACTTCAAATTCCGAGGAGCGCCAACGCAAGACTCCCATTCTGACGAACACTATTTTTGGTGGATAATTTATCAATGAAGTATTCCCGTGGCAAGCATTTTTGGACGCACTTCTCTTTTGGCATGCGAATCACAAGGGAATCGAACTTGAAATCATTGTGGGAATTTCGGCAATTTACCCTTCAGGTTGCCGAGCATTTATTCACCCTGCAGTACAATTGCACGGTTTATTTTTAATTGCATTGCCAAAGACATCTTGAAGGCGATCTCAAGTTCCTTTGCCTCGCAATCTCAGGAAACCCAGGCATTTTTTCTCGCACGGCGGGGCTTTTTGTTCTGTTGCTGCCTCGCGAGATGATTCAATTTCCCTGCTTGAGTGTGTGGAGTCGCGATAATGGGTAGAATGTCGTCATCAGTTCCGCGCTTTCTATGTGTATGATAAATTTAATCCGGCTGGTGATTGATTTCAAGGAGCCACTCTCCATTTTTTCTCACCCTGACTTCTTTTTCTCCTATTTTTACGCATCCGGCGCACTTGGCGCGGACTCACCCTGACACTCTCGACAGTCCTCAGCCCAGTTTCCCGAATTTCCCCCATCTCAGCTGCCCGCAGAGCGAAATATCGGGTGGAAAATCTTATCTCGAGGCGACTTTGGGCTTGTGAGCTCAAAAAACGCCAAGAGGGCGCCATCACCGCCAAAAAGGTCTTCGCCATAGAAATCAATTTTTCCCGAAGAATTATCGAATTTTCCCAGCCACACACCGCCCCGCACAATTCTCACGCCCCACGGGCGCTCCCGTGACTCCCGCTGAACGGAAATGTGGCGTACGTGTGGGGAAATGGGGCCTCTTTCGGGACTCACCTTATCACATAGGGTTTTCACTTGAGTCTCTGTCAATTGTTTGCACTCGTTCAATTGCTCGATCCATTGGTCTAAATCCTTCAGGGTCGACTTATCCTCCATTCTCGTGGCAAAATGCAACTCTCCTGCGACACACTAATACGATTTTCGGGGATTTTAGATGTATGAATTTGGCGTATTTCCACGGCCGGAATTCATACAATTTTCACACGACAAATCAAACCGTACTAGTTTTACAAAATGGCCGAGCCAAGTGTGACGTCAGAAGTTGGCGTTGTCGCGATGCTAGCGCTCCGGTGGAGAAAATGTGACATTTCGCCGCTTCCGGCGAAATCTCCCGCCTGCGCGCTGGCGTCGGGATTTCTTGCCGGGCGGAATATTAAAAAAAAACATCATTTTATTCTGTGAAAACATCAAAGACTTCAATTAATATCACGATGGAGAAAATGATTCAAACAATATACACTGGAAATTGAGAAAAATCAGGAGATTTTGTGCGGCTGAGCATTTTTCTACGCGACTCGGTGGCGTAGTAAAATGCTGGAAATTGCTCACTAGAGGCAGTGGTGGTCGATAGCAGGCGGCGGAACTTTCTTTTCTGATCGTGTCGTTCACACGGTAAGACGTGTCACGAGATTTTTGCTGATTTTAAGTGAAGAATAAGTGCAAGATGACTGAGACTCTGCAGCTCCGAGGCACGCTGTCCGGCCACAGTGGCTGGGTCACGCAAATTGCGACCAATCCCAAGTATCATGATATGATTCTCTCGTCTTCCCGAGGTGAGTTTTTCCACATGGCGATTTCGATTGGAAATCTTCAAATATCTCTCACAACTGCAATCATCCGTCTTTATTATCAACAACCGCTTGAAGAGAAATGCTTGTGCAGTGCAAATAGAGAGAAATGCTGAAGATGGGCTTGTTAATCTCTTGCAGACAAGACGCTGATTGTGTGGAAGCTGACCAGGGATGAGAATAACTACGGAATCCCGCAGAAGCGTCTGTATGGCCACTCCCACTTCATCAGCGATGTCGTCCTCTCGTCCGACGGCAATTACGCCCTGTCCGGATCGTGGGACAAGACTCTGCGTCTGTGGGATTTGGCTGCCGGCAAGACAACGCGTCGCTTCGAAGATCACACAAAGGTCTGAACATTCATTGTCCAAGCACTCCCTTCCGGAGGGTTGAAAAAGGCATTGTATTGCGCTGGGTTGGGAAGCAGCCAATTCGTGGCTTGGCAGTTCTTGGGGCGATGATTGAGGTTAGGTTTAGATGGCCAAGAACTGCCGGTAGAGAGATTTTGTGCCAATGCGTGGCAGAAGAAAACCTCGACGCTTCGGCGGTGGCATTTCTTCAGAATTGAGGCTCTGAGACTGGTAAATGATTGACTTGCTTGCTGTGTTGATCTCTAGAGAGAGTTGCGAAGAGAGAGCCAGGAAGTGTGGTAACTGGACGAGTTCTGTGCCTACTAGGAAGCTGAGTAGTTCGAAAATATCATATGTGACTGCTGAGTGTCGACATCAAGGCAAAAGTGAAAGCAATGTAAAAACGTAATGAACTGATGACTTCCTTGGTCAGTTCATCTCATGCAGATGCGACAATCTTTCTCCAGCAGAGAGAAAGAAAATCTCGTCCATTGATCAGTTTCCTGACTCTTCCTTGCAACTTGCGATTGGTAATGAGATACTAATTGGTTTTTTGGACACGACAGGACGTTCTCTCTGTGGCTTTCTCAGTGGACAATCGTCAGATCGTGTCCGGATCTCGGGACAAGACGATCAAGCTGTGGAACACTCTGGCCGAGTGCAAGTATACGATCCAGGACGAGGGACACACTGACTGGGTGTCGTGCGTGCGCTTCTCGCCGAATCACGCCAATCCCATCATCGTCTCTTCTGGCTGGGATCGCACGGTGAAGGTCTGGAATCTGACCAACTGCAAGCTAAAGACCACCCACACTGGTCACGCTGGATACTTGAACACCGTGACTGTCTCCCCGGACGGTTCGCTGTGCACATCGGGTGGCAAGGACCACAAGGCTCTGCTCTGGGACTTGAATGATGACAAACTGCTCCACACTCTTGACCACAACGACATCATCAATGCCCTCTGCTTCAGCCCCAACCGATACTGGCTCTGCGTCGCCTATGGGCCATCCATCAAGATCTGGGTAAGACAAATTGCAGGAAGAGCAAAGAGGGATTGGGTGCTAAAGTTTCTTTTCCTTGTTCAGGATCTCGCATGCAAGAAGACTGTGGATGAGCTTCGTCCTGAGGTGGTTTCGCAGAATTCCAAGTCTGATCCGCCGCAGTGTCTCTCCCTGGCCTGGTCCACAGACGGACAGACACTCTTCGCCGGCTACTCGGACAACAAGATCCGCGTGTGGCAAGTGTCCGTGACTGCCCGCTAAGACGGAAGCTGAAGAAATGTATCTTCACACTGGAAATAAAGATACAGTGAATGGACGAAACTGTCATTATTTTGTGTACAAATCCTGCTAGAATAATAAATAATAATTTTATACATAAATTCATACTTTTTGCAATGAGAGGAGAAAATGATTTTATTGTGTTTGTGCGATGCTCGCCATTTAAATTTTAGCTCGATTTCTTTCCAGCAGAGGCGCTGAAGTCAGCCACTTGGCGATCGCGACGCCAGTGAATGTGAACGGGGGTTTTGTGCAGTGCGAGGTACCACACTTTTGCGACAGATAAATCGGCAAAAGGCTGGTAAAAAGGCCAAGTTGAGTGCGAAAATTAACAATCGGCCGTGCATCGGGTGGCCAGTGACTGAGTGGAGTGTGAAAAAGATGAGTTGAGTGCGGCGGAAGGGCGGAAAAGTCGAGGCAATCCGCGGGGATTCTGAGTCAACTTGAGGTGACAGATTCGTCCGCACCCAGTGAACAAATCCCAACCCAAAAATCAGATTTGCAGCTCCAGTGCAGCGCAGAGTGGCCAGAGGCGTCCACAGATCGACGGAGAAGGTAATTTGGATCAATTTAGTGTTAGTTGGATGTGGTACAGTGCGTCCCACTAGTCAGGAAATGATGTATTAAATTTATCCCCCCACCCACTGAGGCTATCGCTATTTCTCATCTCGCCAGCGCCAGTGCCACAAGTGCGAGAGCGAGGGAGATTTTGTTGTTTAGAAAGTTGCAAAAAATCATTAATATCTGTCCTCTCTGCCATTTCTCCGCTCTCACGGCAATCGCGGCAATCCGCCCTTCGACGGGCGCCCGAGACAAAGCTCGCGGCCTCAGCGGCGCATTCGATGCAAATTGCACTCGGTTCCACGATAATCAGGAAGGAAAGGGCACTGGCGTCTGAATGGGAGCGAGATGATGTGCGAAACGACATGCCGGCAGCTTCTGCAACAATGCAAAATCAATATTTAACCCAGATGTTAAGAAATTCCCCGTTTGCGGGCCTCCAGTGAAGAAGCTCGCCTCGAGTCCACCTCTAATTGCATTCACATTTCACTGATTTGAAAATCTAATGCCTCCCGCCAGAGACGTAGCCAGAGTCTTGGCGAGATCAGCTTGGGGGGCAAATTGAAGAGAGAGAACCTAAAATGCCTGAAATAAATTCATAAGTTTACCTGGCAAAAGGCTTTTCGAATTTGGCTTGAACTGCAAATTCTAAACTAGAATTAGACCTTTATTTTTGCAATGTTTCTCTGGGTTTTGTAGGTCAAGTGACAGTATTGAATAAGTTCTATAAACTAAACAAATCCTGAACGTGATTCGGCTAAATTCAAGACCAAATATTTGGCTAAATTTTTAATTGCGACTCCCACTTTCCTACACTCTTTCCTCTCGCACACAATCTGCACACTTTGTGTACACAATATTAACTTTCGAGGGGGAGAAATTATGCTCAAAAATAGCGCGAGAAGGAAATTGATTTAATTAGCTTCTCTGGCTCCCTCTGAACTGTTTCGCAGAGTCCATACTAATTGGAGCTGTTAATGCAATCATGCAATTATTACTCTACCTTTAGTTCATCATTGTGCGCAGACAAGTACATGTTGAGCATCGAATCTCAGGAGGAATTGTGGCTGTGCACACACAAGTGAAGAAAGAACGTTTCTTTTTTCACCGCTCAGCAACTAAATACCATCATACTCGCTGGCTATGTGATTATCTTTGCCACTCTGCAAGTGACATTGAATTTTGTGCATATTTGTTGAGAATTCTGCGATAACATTGTTGTAAAATGTGCCGCTGATTTGGCCTTACATTGGCGATTGTGGGAAAAGTGTCAGTGAGTTAAAGTTGGAATACTATAATCCATGGCGTAGAAGACGGATATTCTGTTCTATTTCTGAACAGTTTTGGTGATTGTTTAAAATACCAGTTTCCTTTGTCGCTAAACATTTCCTTTATCACATTTATTGATAGCTAAACAGTTTTTGGGCGTACACGCGTCTTTGTCACACTTTACAAATAGTCGCTTAGTGATAATTTCCGATTCAATGATCACCCCTAGTAACGTTACATGTTTTGTGAAATGCATTTCGGCAATGTTGATTTGTCTGAGGTGACATGGAGGCGTAATGAATCCCAAAATGTTGACCTTTACGCTTTAAGAACGAGTGCAATACTAATAAGGAAGAGAACCATTAATCTTGTTGGTGAAATTCGTCTCAAATTTATTTTTTGCATCTGACAGTGTGAAAGATTTGACTGAGTGTTGAATATAGAGTTTCATTGTTCATCGAGAGCAGAAATCACAGCCATAAGAATTCAGTCAATTCATTCCTTTTCCTTGAATAGTTGAAGAAATAGAAAAATTAGCATAAGTGTAGTTGAGATTTGAGATGGAAATTAGTCAGAAGCGCACGTCACGCAGAATCTCATGGAGAGGTCATGAAAAGTGATCAGCTTCATTGAAGCAAAAGTATCTTTTTGTCTGCACATTTAATTTAATGGGAACTTTGCAGTTGGTGTTTCAACGCACAATATCTAGGCGTTTCACTTAATCATCTGAACTGATAAAAATGCTGCAATAAATTCCATTGGCGAAATACCACGCAATTTTATTTGTTGTTGGTATTAGAACGTGATTTTTTGCTGTAAGAAGCAGAATATGTCAATTCTAATGTAGGTAAACCGTAAATGAATCCTTGGCACGAGAAATGATGGGAAATAAAGCGAGACGAAATGTGTGGTTTTGGGAATGAACATTGAGTTTCACATAGGAAATTATCGATAAGAGTTTTATCAATCTTATGTAGAAAGTTTAGATACATAGAAGTATGTATACGTGACATACTCAACATTTTTCCTCTTTTCTCTTTTCAGAATTCAGCGGATATTTATAGATACATACTCATTTGGAGGAAAAAAAGGGCGTGAGCGCGTCCCTTCTGCAAGGAATCTCGATAGAACAGAGGAAAGGCGCATTGAGCAAAAATGCCTCTGCCAAAGAGACACGTTGATCCGATTTATATTGCGAGGTCGCAATATGTCAATAATGATTTTCAGGAGTCAATTGAATTGGAAACTGTGACAAATACAACACTGACAAATATAATAAGGCAGTTGTCGTCCCTGTCGAAGCATTCGGAAGATTTATTCGGCGAATTGGCACGCGATGCCGGCACAATGGCGGAGAGGGTGAATTCGCTGCAAGCTCGAATCGATAGGTTGGCCGTAAAGGTGACCCAATTGGACAGCACGACGGAGGAGATATCGCTCACGGATATACAGCTGAAGAAGGCCTTCAAGAGCTCAAGCATGTTCGATCAGCAGATCTTCTCGCGCAGCACAATGCCGACGGCGATGCTGGAGACGTACAAACAATGTGATAAGCCGCCACCGCTGGACAAGTTGAATTGCTACAGAGATGACGGCAAGGACGGACTGAAGTTCTACACGGATCCCAATTACTTCTTCGAACTATGGCGACAGGAGATGCTGAAGGACACCGAACGGGTGATGCACGATCGCGGCAAGAAGATCCACAAGCCACGTCCTGACGGGGCGACCGCGGGCGCGGGTCCCAGGCATAAGAAGCGCGTGCGGACGCCTCACAATACGAGGGAGAAGCAACGCCAAATAGCAATAGGACATGGTGAAACCTTAATGCCAAATAATGTTATCTATAGAACACCAAATTCACTCATGAACCCAGAGGATCCATACAACAGTGAGTATATCGTGGTATTCTGCAGAAGTAGGAGTGAATGTGTAATGATGATTTGTGCTTGCAGATATGTCTATTTATGACATGAGACCCAACAGACCAAATTCAATTGAATTGCGTCGAAGTTACCCAACTGAAGCTGTTGATGGATATCCTCCTGGATCACCGAATTATCAACAGCAGAACAATTACCATCATCAGCAGCAGACAAGTGAGTATAAAACTTCCTCTTCAACATCTGTAATGACTTTCTAATTTGATTGTCACTCTTCTTCCAGTGTACGATGAGAGTGTCTACAATCATCAAGCTCTCTATGGAGCTCCTGGTGGTCAAGCACCGCTCTCTTCTGATAGTCTGTACGCTCCGGGGACACCGTCGAGGACAAAGCCACGTCCCTCACAGCCCCCGCCGGCGCCGCCGTCTTCAGGAAGCGGCGGCGGCACGCCCAATGCATCGAATGCCAACACTCCCACGCGCGGCAGGAGCATGTCGACTGGACGCGACACTTTGCCACCTCCTCCGCCAATTCCCGAGGCGATGACATCGCCGCCGCCGCCACTGAACGGCGGCACCGTTGCGGCCAAGTTGCTGGGCCGAAGTCACAGCACTTCGCGATCGGGATCGCCGCAGTTGAATACAACGGTGCAGGATCAGAATGCATTGGTGATGGCGCAACTCAATACGCAGATAAACAACTTAGCGAATATGGGGATTCACGGGGTGCCCCATCAAATTAGTGCAATGAATGATTTACCCCCGCCGCCACCAATTCCAGAACAGGTGAGTCTATCAGTGTATTGGAAATCATGTGGTTGTGCGGAAAAATGGAAGAAAATTACTGTGAAAAGCTTTGAATTGGCTCAATAATTGAATCATCTTGTACCCTCTGTGAATCTGACTCTGACTCGTTGATATTGCAGATGTCGCCGAAGCCTTCGCCACCAAATTCTGCGCCTCCTCCACCGCCACCGCCGCCCCCACTTGTTGACGGCCTCATGAGTCCTCCGCCCGTGAGCATGCCCATGAAAGGCTTGACGAATGGCGATGTGAACAACATGAATCCAATCATGAATGTGCCGAACAACATAAATCCTACCAAAAAGATTCTGCCGCCTGTTCACGACAATAGAACTGATCTGATGAAGGCCATTCGCGATGGTAAGAGTGTTCTTTCTCTACTGTAAATTGTGATGATGTACATAAATTGACAAATTTGCAGGAATCAAATTGAGGAAAGTGGAGAAGAGTGAGGCGAAGGAGAATGAGCGCTCGACAGCGTTTCACGATGTCGCGTCCATCCTGGCCAGGAGGGTGGCCATCGAGCTCTCCGAGTCGGAATCATCTGAGAGTGAAGACGATAGCGAAGGATGGATGGAGCCTAATGAGACTTCAGCGTAAATTGTGGGCGATGATGTATGATTAAAAGTTCTTACATAATAGGCACACTTCACAATTATTAAATTATTTAATTTCTCCTAAAATGCAATTTACATCGATCAGTGACGAAACCTTGAGAGATGGTTAGTCACTTTCTTAAACATTAACAATATTTAAGAGTATATAAAAGAGGTGAAACGTAGCGTTTTGTGCTTTGCGCATATTATTATTATTACTGCCTCAATGATATGTTTAAAAGCTCTTTGTAAATACAGCTTACCAAGTCAGAGAGAGAGATATTTTTCGCGAATATTATATGAAAAAGATGAACTTGAATAATCCGTCGGTGGAGTCTCGATGGCCAAAGGTCTCGTCATTTCACGCCGACTGCGTATGATTGCATTTATTTCAGCAACTGCGTGCATTGCGTACTACATAATATTGCTTGCCGGGCCATCTTCAATGAAATCCTGGCATAATTTTTGTAACTTGTATTATTTAAAGGAAAAAAAATACTTTGTTATTTTCTAAGCATAAATGTATATTATTATAGCTTCCTTGAGTTGCAAGATTTCATATATTTTTTTGAATTTGTGGCGATAAATTTAAGGAAAAAAAACTGAGTCACAACATAGAAAGAAAGAATTTGTACGAAATTTGATAAAATTTGTTTTACAAACTGCTCCAATATAATATCACGGAGCTTTGCAACGTTACACAAAACTTTACTGGATTTCTTATAAATGATTTCTTTCTACAAATGAAAGGATTTTTTGCTTATGATATTTAATAGAGAGTTTCTAAAATTGCAACTTCTAATTTGATAATTATATATTGAAAAAATTTTAAAAACTATAAAGATATTTACCTTTCAAAATATGCTTTTATCGCACAAAGTGTTAAAGAATGTGTAAATAAAATTTGAACAGAGGATATATCGCAGATTCAAGGAGTAAGCAAGCCTCGAAGCGATATTGATAACAACTAATCCAGTGCTTCAAGATAAAATTGTTTGAATGAAGAAGAAAAAAAGGGAATTTATGATGAGGAAGAGAAACAATATTATATCAAAGTTGTAACCCACTATCAATGTTTTTAATAGAACCATAATAGGATATAAACAATTTTACACCATTTACACTTCCATACTTTTTCAACAAATACGAAATACAATAAAAATACTGTCAATACAAACAAAATACTTACAGTGAATAGCATGATATCTAATATTATAAGGATGGTAAAAAGCATATTAATGAAAAAAAAATATTATTTTATTGGTTTATATAATTATTTTTAGCAAAGTTCTTCGGCACTATTGAAAATTTATTTTCTCCAAGTCTGAAAATGATGTCTAACAAGTAAAGGAAAATTATATTCACTGTAAATTAATACTGATTGAAAAATACACACTCATCTTCAGAAATCAAAAGGAAACTTTCATAAAAAAATACAAATATGTTCTAAGTTCGAAAGAAATACTGAATGAGAAACAATTGCATTTCAACCTGAAATAATCATTTTACCTCTCTAATGTATTTAACATAATTTCTCTCTAAAAAAAGAAAGAAAAAGCATTTCGGTGTGTTTAGCCAAAATACTTGAGAAAAACTTACCTGTATTCTTGTTAATTGAGAAATTGAAAAAAAAAAATGTTCTTGCTTAGGTGTTGCCTTTATCACAGCGCAGAAATCTCTTGTGGCATATTTATTGTATTTCTCTTTGTTCATAAAGACAGAGTCCAAATGTGAAGATTTCACAATATTCCAAGATGCTCAAAATAAGTTTAGAGACACTCTTGTGGAATTATTCCAGTAAAATGCTTCGATAAAATAGGTAGTATTGAATGAAAAATAGAATGAATTTCTGTACTCTTTAGTACGATATTTTCTTTTGGAGAATAGACTTTAGGTAAATTGGGAGTTTATATGATTTCTTCATCCATGATTTTTTTTCTCTTATGTCCAAACACATTTTATTGGAGGAAACAGTAAATTTAGTGTAGATCAGAAGAATATTACGATAAAGGAGTATAATTTGTATAAAAATGGATTTTAGAGCGATTGGAAAATGGCATATAATGTAATTATGATTTACTACATACTGTAATAAATATAACGATAATAATTTTTCCGTATTTTCCTGCTTCTGGTGATTGCTGAAATAAAAGCCAACGGCGTGAGGAAAGGAAGGGAAAATTGAAACAAGACAACTGCGAGTTTGTCTGAAGAAAAGTTATAAGGTAATTTATTAATTATATCAAGAATTGAGTCTTCTCTATGTATTAGAACTTTTCTTTCGTAATCCACTAGGAATAATTGAAATTGATTATGTGATCTAATTTTTCTTTTTTTTTTTGAATATGACTTTCAAACTCTCCTTCAATCGCGCTACGTTCAATTGCAATTCAAGTTGTATAATATCAGTTATTTTGTATATTTTGGTATTTCACCTTAATAAGTAATGTTTAGGTAATTCTTTATTCTCACTCTATATCTGACATTCGAGCTTCTTCTTCGTATTATTGAGAAAATTGAAGACAATAAACTATTTCTCTCCTCTGCTATCTTTCAAGAATCCTTACAATGTCTTTTTGTCAACTTTTAGTGTTTTGAATTTACGCTTCTTCTCTAAGTAGTAGAAGTAGTAACATTTTCACAAATTGTTTCTGCTGCACTTTCTCACTTTCAAGTTTAGTTGGAACGCCCTATGAATGCCCTTAAATAAATAATATTATCCATATTTATATATATATATAGGTATTGTAAATTTGTTTTGCCTAATATAGTTTAGAACTATAATGTGATGTTTTTTTTGGAAAGATATCATTTTATTTATTATAAGGATAATATCATTAAATCTCTACTTTCATTACTTAAATATTGTAAATGTCCTGAAACTACTTTATCTCAAAAAAAATTTTCTCACTTTAACATGATTTCAACTAATGAAAGATATTCTTGTATTTATAGTATAATTTTTGCAATTTTCTGCCTTCTTCTCACCTCCTCTTCACACAAGAATTGATTTTGCTCAGAGAATTTCTTGAATGGAAGTCCTCAAATTGACTATTTATATTTAGCAGCTAATCATCTTCTTTATTTCATATATGAAAGTAGAAACAAACGCAAATATTTGCACAATATCACAGTGTATAAAATTGGTGACTTTTTCCTTTCGTAATTCTTTCTTGTTGAGTTGATAAATCAATCGTAAAACTAATAGCTTCTGCTTTAATTTATATATACAAAATTCCTCAACGATCCTTAACACACACACAAAGAAGTGAAATAATGCAAATCACCTACTAAAGTATCTCAATGTTTTGCGTAAGAAGCATTTCAATATGAAATATTTTTTTTTAATTTTAAAAATGTCTTTAAATACTCTATATTATTATTTATATTTATAATAAAGCACAAGAATTTCTTATTATTGTTGTTGAATTCTCTTAAAGTTTCTCCTTTTCATCCAATGAACTCATCAAATATTACAACCTATCGCAGTAAAAAGGCAAAAGAGAAATGAGAAAACTATTTAGTCTCTATTAGCAAACTTATTCTGTACTTTATTTTACAAGAAATATAATTGACTTACTGAACTACTTGAAAATTTATAGCTATAAGTCACATTTCACAATCTAATGAAGAAATTTGCACTCTTTAAAATCCTTAACTTTCTCCAATTCGTGCTAATATCAACAGATTTCAAGATTTTTTAATTTCTTAATATTTCAGATGTCTTCAATCTCTAATTACTACTTTCTTCTCTTCCAGTTAAACTATGCATTTTATGTCTCTATGTTCTCAAAAAATAAGCAAGACAATTTATCTTTGAAACTGAAGGGTTAAATAGTGAAAAAAATACCAATTTTATACTCATGACTGCCTCGTAATATTGTGCTGTGCATCTTTTAGTGTCTTTATCGTTATCTTTGTGAAATAGTTCAATAGGTGATTTCTATTCCAGAGAAATGTCTACTGAGCAAACTATTTCATGTGTTTTCACTACAATGATGTGAACAAGATAAATTAATAATGTAATGATGATGTATGAGAGCTTAAGCAAATGGAAGTCAACTAATCCAATGTTTATGGTTGAAGCTAGTTGTGTGATTTGACGAAAATATTGAGCCAGTAGAGTTACGCCTTGCAGACTAACATTCATCCTACAATCTAGTCATTGTGGAAGGCTAAACTGATTCTGTTCGATGGGTTTCTTCAGCCAGTGCCCGAGATCTTCACGCTTAAATGCAGTGAATAGTTCTTGCTTTGCAACCTACAACAGAAAACACAAAGACAAATATTGCATTAGACAGAGACCATTCTGGGAGTGATAAGGGAAGAAATGGGACAATCTCCTCACCTGGTACTCCTTCACGGACGCCTTCATCTCCCCGTAATCACAATCAATCGCATGTCTCTTCTCAATGAGTGGCAATTGTGATATCAATTTAGCATATCTGGCAAAGAAGCTTTGCTTGGTGATCCTCGATATTTTGTTGTGAATGGTCTTTCCCGTGATCGAATTAATAATTTCCACCTCAGCGTTGCCAAATGTCCAATTAATACTGAAATTGGGCGCCTTGATTGGATTTCTCATTTCGGATGACGTTACGAGTGCCAATTTCGGCCGATTGAGTTGGTATGGCGGTGGTAAATTTTGTATGGAATTCTCGATGCGTCCACACACGGCTCTGTACATATGTGCTGGATGCAATAAACTACCCAATACGATTGATGTCAAATAGATTGGTTGGATTATTGAAGCCAGCAGTGCACCTTGGACGCCCAACACATTCCACTTGGCAATCTTATCCGAGCATGACATGGTGAGAAGGCGCTGGCCCTGCAGCACACCATCCCATGTCTGGATACCGTCGCTATTCTTCACGGGAATCGTCCCCTCGCCAGACTCAATCTTCGTGCGCAACTGCCCGCGCGCCTTGCGATTCGGGTGCTTATCGATGCCCAGCGTGGCATCCTCCTCGTGCGGGCTGAATATCCGCGCATCGCCACACGGTGCCGTGTTTATGTACAAATGGAATTGGACGTTCTCCCTCAACTGATACAGTTCACCTGACTTTAGTGGTCGCACAAATATTGAATCAGACGCTGTCTCATCGGTCAAATGCATCATCAACTGACCATAGAGATAATCAACGAGACATCGACGTGACACAATCTCTGCATGACAATCATTCACTGCTGAGCCAGATACGCTTATGTATTCACCATTGACACACTTTGTCCCTGTCGACACGGAAATCACCTTCGCCTGTGCAAGATCCGGACCGCACGTCATCACAATGCCAGCCAACACTTTGCGCCTCGAGTACACCTCATGACCCACCATTATCTCCGTGAACTTCTGCAGCACGAGCCTAAGAAAGCAAAGGGAGAAAACATCAATTTAGTAGGAGAAAAACTGCACGTCCTAACAAAATACACAAGTCAAAGTTTCGCAAAAGGCAAACTTATGAAAATGAAATCCACTCAAGTCACTTTTCCTACTCTTTAATCCATCCAAATCAGACAAAATGCTACCACGAAAGCTCCACATTTATGTGAAGTTGTATTTTTTTTCTTGAAAGGATGCCAAAACACTTCCACACGCTCGGGCGACATGGAGAGAAATTATGAGTCTGCCATTGGAAAGGCGACAGCCGAGGCTATTGCTATTCGCCACATTCACAAACATCCAATACGAAAACTATAAGAATATCCATGATTCTCAAGTTCCAACCCAAACACGTGACCTTTCATTTTCCACGTCATTCTTCGTGTCCGTTGACTCACGAAGTCACTTCCTAATTTTCATTTAGGAAAATCCATTTTTCTCACATGTGTGATAATTTACAGAATAAACTTGCAGATATAGAGCTTATGTATGTAATTTGCAAGGCAAACTGTGATATTATCACGAAATTTTCACACTGAAATTTTGATAAAAATCTCAATTCACACATATTAAACCTATATAGAAATTTAATGCCATGTTCTGACCCATTTTAAAGAGGTGTGCTGTGTGCATCCTTCGCCCACTGGCTGTGGAATTTACATAATGTGTTTCCACCAGGATTTGCATGTACCACAGCGTAGGGGAGTGCAGGGCATAGCCAGCTTAATTTTTGCAGGGATTTTTTCATCGCTATAATTTCATGAAACTATAATACAAGCCAAAGAAGAAGCGACTAAAGAGTCAATAGAGCATAATCACAGCAAATATTGAGAAATGTGAGTAATTTCACAGGTATTTTCAAATATTTGCCGTATTTCGGTTAAAAAAAAATTACCTAATCCAAATTTTTTGATCAGCCCTATTTTCCCCTATTTTAAACACAATGTCAGAACCAGAGACGATAATCGAATTTTTCTCTATGTAAAATAATCGTCCTTTTACCCTAAATACACAAAAAGTGGCAAATTCTGATTCCAATCTTCCCGAATAAAAAATCAGTGCAAATTGCATTTCTGACACGAATTGTGGAGGCAAAGAAATTAGCTCGTTTCAACCCAAATGTGTCGGCATATAAATAGCTGGAGACAGAAAAGTTCTTCACACTTACTTTCCTATCCCATCGGCAATTGTTTGCGCCAATTCTGGGCACTCTTTGTCGCTGTAATTGATGCTCGCGATGGTGGATTTTGGCAGTTGCGCCTGCATAGGGCTGTAGGAAATATTGCACAGGGCGGCAAGAGCAGCCTTCGCCGCTGCATTCTTCGCCAGCTTCTTCGACGGCCCAGTGCCCTCGAAGTTGGTGTTGTTGGCCGTGGCGATCATCTTGAAGCGCGAGTGCTGGTGCCCATCTGAAGACACACACTCGAATTTTACATCGTTGAAGAGCTCGTAGAGGAGCATCACAGGACCTTTCTCCGGGATGGCCTTCTGACTTCCCACGGCCGACATCCGACGCATCATCTCTGTTGGGGATTGGCGAGAAAGGTTTGGGGTTTTCCGTTTCAGCGGAAAAGCGAGAAAAAAAAATCATTAGTGTGACTTATCAATTTAAGCAAGCTTCATTGGATGACATAGAGAACATATAATCGAGTGTTGAGGCTCCAAAATTCGCGTATACAGAGAGAAAAGAATGGCATATTTATTTGAAGTAAATTCAATCAAAGCGTATTTTTTTTGCCTTGATAACAAATAAAACCTTCAATGATGAAACGCCAGCTTTAATGTGAAATAAACGTGTAGGCAAGAATTGAGAAGATGACATACAAAATGAGGAATTCCGCGAAATGACATAGCATGATTATACATTTCTAAAATTGCCATGTTTGCAATCGCTTATTATGTATTCAATGAAATGCCAACTCTTTGATTTGTTATCGTTCATTCCTTCCAGTTTGGAAAGTTTACCATACAATTCTTCAAGCAAGGATATTAATAAAGCACTGGTTATAGATAAATTACGACCGTTTTTTTTGCATTCGAAAATCTAGAGCATTGGAAAAATGCAAAAAAGTCATAAAGAATCGAAGCAAGACGCAATTTTGGAGCCTTGATGTCACTCCACCCCGTTTTATCACAAAGTACTTCTAGATAAATCTTTTCTTTGGTCACAGGGAAGACGTAAACATAATTTGACCCCTTGAGCAACAATATTATTATAGTTTTATACAGATAATGCTGTTGATAGTGACGCTTAATTAAGCTGAAATATAAAGAGATAAATATTGTTTTGATGTTTATGCTGATTATGCGTAATGTAAGAACAGTGTTTAAAAGCTTTCTTGTCAGATCGGCAATGTTTAAGATTTCGGTGAAGCATGATAAAGCCAAATACAGTGGATTCTAAATTTAAAAAAAAAAAAACCATTTCTACATTCAGACTTCAGGTGTTTCTATTCAATTTGGAGTTTCTGTGTTTTAAGTGATTGCAAAGTTTTTATTCCGAAACACCAGCAAAAATACTTGATTTAGCTCTAGATCGATTACAATCTTGCGAAACTGTCTTATCGTGATGACAAAATGACTCAGGCAAGCTGGATTTTGAAAATATGTGTAAAAGTTCAGAGATATCGTCAAATTTTGTGCTTCCTTAAGAATCTCCCGATCAAAAGCATAAAGAAAACAGGACAAAACAACACACGGATAAAGAAGTTATTGTTAAATTACGTCTACAAACCAAACCACCTCATAGATTGACAAACGTTGTTGAACAAACTTGTAGATATTTGCAACAATTGGACAGAGGCACAGATATAATGTGGATAAAACTACTTGCTTTCGTATCGCATCAACCACTCCGGCTTACAATTACTTTGGCTAATGCTTTCTAAGCTACGCTGAATGAGAGTGAGGATTTCAGTATCAAAGTCAGTATCGGATGCTGTACCGTTTTCAATGTGCTCATCGCTGGTGAAGTCCACGTTGTTGGTGGGCTTCAGAGGCGACAAGATGGCTCCATCTTTCAGTTGGATAAAACTCCTCAGAGCTGCCTCCGCTGCCGCCAATCTTGCCATTTTCTTGCTCCGTCCTTGTCCAGTGTACGTCTGTCCGTCCACCTAGAAAAGCACCGATGGAGATTTGCATTTTAAACTGACGACAATCACAAGTTCTCGTGAGGCCGATGCAAATTGACAATTACCTCCACGCTTATTGTGAACAATGGAGCATGCACGGGGCCAGTCTGCGCCTCCAGCGTGTACGTCAGACCCTGGCGGAGTTCGTTCAGCAGCGCCACGGGATTCTTCGGCTGCGGCAGCTGCTCTCCATTCTTCCTCTTCTTGCGCGGCGAGCCTGCGAGGAGCATTGCAAAGTCTCACTTTCCCGCCAAAATTCCCACCGCGCTGTGGGCAGAGAGATACTCACCGGACGCCGAGAGGTTCTCTCCACTCCGCTTGACTGGACTCTTGACCGGAGGAGATCCGCTGCTGAAGGAGTTGCCATGGCCATGCGGTCCAGGATTCACTGGGGATTTCTCAGGTGTCCTCGGAACCTTGCCACGAGATGAAGTCAGTCAGTTAGTTTCCAGCCTCACTATTGCGCCCTTGACTTACCTTAAAAATCTCTGGAGCCGGATTGCGATTCACTTGCAGCATTTTCTGTCCGCACCAAGGAAATCACCGTGCATCATGAAACAAGAGAGGGAGAGTGAGAACGAGCGTGAGTGAGCGAGACACGGAACACTCGATATCGAGTGTGAAGCTGTAAATAATAAACTGGAATCGAGATGCTTTTTGGCAATGATTTTATAATGCCCGAAAAAAAGGACGTAAGATTCGGTGAAAATCAATAAATCCACATGAAACTCCTTGGTCAGAGAGAGATGGGGCGACATGTGATAAGGAGTGGGAGTGAGACGAGGCGATCTGGTAGCGCTTTTCTCTTCTCCGCTATATTGATTTGCAAAATGGGCAGCAGGAAAAAGCGTCAGGGGGACTTTTTGCAGGTGGACAGCACGGAAGTGCGGGTGAATATTCAACTTACTGTTCTTGAGCGGCGCGAGTGACACCGGTTACATGACGCTGCAACACAGAGAGATTGTTAAAAACTCAATATTTCGCAGAATACACGGGACAACTGGCAGAGTAGGACAAAAGGATGAAGCGACACGAGCGTACTCCGGGACGTCAATGCCGTCGTGCTGCGACTGAAGAACAGATGACAGCCCGACTGGTCGAGCCACCGTGTCCGACACACACAGCACGCGAATGCCCTCGTGTGAAGCATTTTCAAACGGAGATTGAGCGGATTTTCAATCATTTCTAAATCACCTGACAAAGTAGGATCTGAATGGAGACTTATATAGTGACAGTGCAACTACAATTATGGCTAATCAAAACATTATCATGGCAAATTAAGCTTCGAAAGCTGTGAAAAAGTCTAATTGGTATATGAATCTGTCCAGCTGAGATTGCAGTGGATTTTTGGGTGCTTTTGATAGTAGCGCTAATATCGGCGAACACTCGAATGAAGCGGAATTTGAATTTTCATAAATTCAACATATACCAAAATTCTAATACTTATGATTAAAAATCTCTCTTATTAGGGATGGGAAAAAGAAATCAAGATCCTACACAATAAATTCTTTCAGTCAGATTTGCAATATTCCAAGTAATACTACTTAAGAATATATTCTCCTAACAAGATTCAGCTTAAAATTGATTTTGCAGATGAAGCTTAATTTGTGATATGAAGGATGAAGGTGAAATCTTGATTTAAAGCTCTGATGTGTCACAATCCTAAGCTAGACATTGGCTTATTACTATTTCTTAATAAACTGCATTTTATAGCGAATAAACCGCTGACAGCTGTTCGCGCTAATGTTATGTTTATTTTAATTCACTGTACACCTCTGCACTCTTGAATTGAGACGCTGTGCATTCCGAGCCAAATGAGCATGAAACTCATGAAAATTTCTGTCCAAATTGCCGTAGAGGAAAGAAATGCAAGCGATTCACCAGCACTACAGAAAATTGTAAATTTTCCAGTGAATTTACTTTCTCACGAAATTTGCAATGCTTTTATGGGTAATTTCGCATCACAATCACAGTGATTTATATTCTTCAAAACACTTTCCACTGAGACGATCGTTGGGGACGAAAATAAGAGATTGTGACGGGAAATCTCAGGCACAAGTTTCAATCTCAAATAACACACAATAATTGTGGTAATTTATCACTCTCGGATATTTTCATTAAATTGCATAAAGGAGTGTGAATTCGCAAATTGACGAGCTCAGTGATTCACTGGGAAGTGTGACGCATTTAAATATATATTTACACATTACACACGGAAGTTTAATTTCTGTGGGATTATTATGAAAATTGATGTCGCTCGAAATGATATAATTGAAGCATAGAGTGCAGAAGAATCTACTTTTTCCTACGAATTCAAAAGGTTACTCACAAAATACCATCATTCGGGATCTTCGGGGCTCTTTGGTGCGAAGAAAATTGATTTTGTCACCACAACACCACGCACTTTTCTATTGAAATGACTTCACGTAATTATAGAGGTGCGCGAGAATCGTTCGCGATGGAAATATAAAGTGACAGAAAAATAAATCAACTGCGAATTATTATTAAGTGTACTTACTTTAATAATCCAAAAGAGAGAAAGGGAAGGAATTTACGTATCATATATTTATATGATTTTATTTAGGGTCACGATTTACAGCGAGTTTGACTTGGCCAGAAATAGAAACTATCCCGGATTCGGGTATTTTCGTTTTATGTGACTTTCGATACATTGCATTTTCATAAGATTATCTCTATTGCTCAGAGAAATAACAAGACGAGAGCAACTCAGTCAAGTTGAAAGGAAGATTCGTATAGATAAAAAGGATAATTTTAGAGAAAACTTCCTGCTTGTTGAAGTTCAAAACAGATTTTTAACCGTTTCAACGAAAAATATATGTGATATTTAAATGTTTTATTACCCTTTCTGGACTATAACGATGACTTCCGGCATTAACTACACTTTATGTCTGTGGGACTGGGTGATCTCTAGTGCGCCAGCACCTCTGAGTCCTCCGTCTTCATGCCGGATCCAACTGGTCCGTGGCGTCTCTCCCAAATCATCCGGTGCTTCTGCTTCATGTAGGCCGCCTTAGACTGGCCGTACACTCCCAGATCGCCATACTTGGTGAACCAGTCCGCGCTCGCCTGGTTGTATAACTCCAGAATGTCTACGCACTTTCTTTTCTCATCTGGGGCCTCGTAGTGGACGCAGTCCTCGAAGCGCTGGCGCAAAATGTTCAGGATTTCGCTGTCCACCATCTTATCCCTCTTGAATTGCTGATCCGCCTCAAACTGGCACACTACATCATCAGTGTAGCACTGGTCGATTGTGGGAACACGCCGGAACTTCTGATGATACCATGGATAGCTCTTCTGGTTGGGCTTCACGATCACATCTGCAATTTGGAGGTTGGAATCGTTATGTAATTTCGCAAGCAATTTGTCTGCAAAAGCATCAGAGAAAGCCTTCCGGAATGGAAGACACTCTCTTCACCGGTGCTCTCTCAGTGCATTTCACGGGCTACATGCCCAAGATGCAGGGAATGATGGTGAAAAAAACAAGAAATTACCATGAAACCAAGTGACTGGCTTATCGAAAAAGTTGTAGATGAAGTTGTGGGTTTTAACAAAGGCATTCTCCTTCCCGCTCTCCTCGCCCATGATCACGACTGCAACAGGAGTGATTAGAATTAGACTTGGAGGAAGTGCGATGCCTGAAAGATAGGAATTACCTGGAAAAATAACAAACCAGAAGAGAAAATTTGCAGACCGATGTTGACTTTTCTGAAAAACACCCAAATCCTAATAAAGAATGGTCATTGATACGAATTCGTCTGGAGATTTCTCTTGGGAAAAGTCTGGCATTATTTGATGCCTCGCATGACAATTTTTTTGTGTGAAAGGAATGCAAAAAGATTACAAAAATAGTTTTTTTTCTATTTGGTTCACTGCCATAACACTGTTTTTATTATTTCTCCAGAAGAATTCTCAGCTGAAAACTTCTCTGTGGAAGTATCAGAACTTCAACTGATGTTCCGTCGAACGTCCATAAATTGTCCTACGTTTAGTATTCATTGGGTGCCATTTGTTGGGTCGATCAGTCGTTCATCTTCGTGGATTCTAATCTCAAAACGAGTCGCAAAGTCTTGCTATCTTGCCAAAGATTTCACGTGCGTGATATATAGTTCCTCTTGTTGAATCCTAACTAGTAATATGATGGATTAAGTGAGTGCTTCATTCCTTCTCTGCTGCTTCTCAATAATTTCCGATTTTTTGGGCGAAAGTGAATTGCGTGTTCCCAATTTTCATGACGCGCGTTACATAATATTTGCAAGGCAATATAGGTGAGAAAAAAGCAACATAAGCCACAAAAACCCATATGTTTGCGTCATATGACTGTGGGGCACACTTTTTATGCTGATCGGTGTTGGTGTTGCAGGACTTGGGGGCTTGTCAGGAGGGATGACATCGAATCCGTCAACGCCGCTGAGCCAGCGCCGCGTGCACGCAAACGGAGCCGCGGGAGGGTTGAGGGGCTCGCGTATTCCGCAGCTGACGTCGCCCCAGCCGTTCCGACGTTCCGTGTCGTTGCGCTTGCGTGGCAGCAAGAGCACGTCGAGCAGCAACTTCGCCTCGCCAACTTCTCCGCCGAAGCCATTTCACATGAGCCGTCCATTGGAGCGCGCTCAGCTCTCGGGGAAAGCGCCACCTTCCACCACGGAGTCGGTCAGCAGCGATGCCAAGGAGGCCCCCGCCGCGGGGCCCTCCTGCAACCACCACCACTACCAGTTCTGCGACGGACACAGGCCGAGCCAGCTTCAGTCGCCCTCAGAAGTCCCCGCGGGCAGTTTCGGTGCCACGAAACGCGACCATGGCTTGGTGAGTTCGGGCCGCAGCGCCTCAAATTGCGCAAATTGTCCCACAAAAGTGCCGTCCGGAAGTTGATGAGAGATTACGTAGAGCAGATAGTGTAAAATGTGCCGCAATTCCCATCCTTTCTTCGTCCGCGAAGACGTATAGTGTGAGTTCTGTGCACTCCTCAACATGCTGAATCAGGACCATGTTAAGTTGAAAGTGTTCAGAAGGAAATGGATGCAAAAGTTCGAGGTGAATGGATCGATAGTGGCGTGAAAAGGACATGAATCTATGAATTATGCACCAACAGCAAATATATTGCGAAGTCCCGCCTTTTCGCATCCCATTCGCGGGATTCCGGGAACGAATTTGACCATTAGACGGAGCAAAAAAAGAGAATCTCATTTCATGAACGTAGATGTAACACGCAACATCAATACTTTTAGTGTCAGCGACTTTTGTTCTACTGAGCGTGAAAATAATTGGGTTGTTTCTCTCCACTTCGCAGTCATTGAATCTAAACAATTCGGCACCATCAACTTCTGCGGGAAAGTCGCCACTGACGCCGCAGACGCCAAAGACTCCATCTGGAGCCGGAAAGACGCCAAAGACTCCGCCTGTGACCCCTGACCTCTATCCAAATGGCTACTACGAGGACGACATGGACTCCGTGCACAGCTACAGCTCCGGACGCTCCACCATGTCCTGCGAGCACGCCTATGTGGCCAGGTGAGTCCGTTCTGACAGTATTCGGAATAAGATTTCCTAAAAATTCAAATAGATTCAAACTTAGAATAGCAAAATGAAAGTAAACGTTTCATTTGACTTTGTATAGTAGAGCTGGAGAGCATTTTTATTCACAAACAAATACTTAATTAGATTAGAATTACCACGAGTTAAGCATGACTCTCAATCTAATTAATCTACGAGTGTTTTCACTGAAAACAATAAAAGCAATTCAATCAGCATGAGATTGGGTGTGCTCGGTGTGCTGTAGTTTTCACAAAGTGTTGTTTTTTACTGCCTTTAAAGTGTACAATCGTAAAGAGTTATGAAGTGTTAACACAACACTAAACAATGTCCTATGTGCTTTCGCAGAAATGGGACAACATTCAGCGGAAGGAGGATGAAATATGTGGTGCACTGCTCCAGTTATGCAGGAGCAACAGGAGAGGATTACTTGACGCCCACGCAGCGTGCACAGCGTCAAATTAGACGCCTCCGCGAAATGCTGTTGCAGGCAAAGTTAGATCTTGAGCAGAAAGACAGTGAAATTCTGCGCCTGACAAAGGAAGTTGTGGAACTGAGGCTCTTCAAGGCGTCTCTGAGCTCTCCGGAGGATCGGTCAAACTCCAGTGATGCCGTAACAGTGCGTGAAAACACCGCGAATGACCTGCAGACGTCAACAGATGTGTCTCCCATTGTGGATATGGTGGATGAGTGTGGCGCAGTATCGAAATTGAGTCCGCGACATCAGCTTTTGCAGGCAAATCATGTGCAAATGATGGAGAAATTGTGTCAATCCGAGATGCAGAGCTCATTTGCTGATTCTGGTCACTTTGAGGATATGACAACGTCGTCATTCCACTCGAAAGACTCATTTGTGCAGACGCAGGATCAGGCGAGCGGCTCGGACTACACGGAGGCCGATCGGCAGGAGTTGATTGACATCTACGAGCGTCGCATTGAGGAGCTCATTCGACAACATGACAGCGAGAAGCAGGACATCAAGATGACGCAGAATGATCGCGTGGAGGCTCTGCTGCAGAAGATGTCGGAGAGCAATGCACGATTCACAGATCTTGTGCCGGACTACGAGCAGGCGAAGGAGCGCATCAGGGAGCTGGAGAAGGAGCTCGAGGTGCTGCAGGCGAAGTTGCGTGAGCAGGAAGACAAGCAGAATAAGATGTACCTGCACATGTATGCAAAGGGACAGGAAGCGGAGAGACTCAGTCATGCGGATCAGGTGAGGGGAGAAAGACGATGGGCAAAAGGAGAATCTGAACCACTGGTTTTTTTTCCCTCTTCTAATTTGCGCAAGGTGATGGAATTCGCCAGGCAGGCGCCCAAGCGTGTCTCAGTTCCGGAGCTCTTACAGCAATTGCAAGTGACTCAAGACGAATTGGAAAATATCAAGGTAATTTCATTCAACTATGCCCATTTTTCAGACCACGGAGCTTCTCTTTCACTTCACACCTCGATCGATCATACTTTTCGGTGTGTGTAAGATTGCTTAACATTACTAAATCACATTTGGGCATTAAGTGATCTTTCTCCTCTTTCCATATACAATCAGTTTCACGTTTTCTCTCTCTCAAAATAGGAGATCTAGAGAGTCACGCCTCTCCTTGAGGTCGTGCGTACAGAACTTTGCTTTGTTGTTAATACGGTCATGGCCAAAACAGTGCTTTTACTTAAGACAATTCCTACAGATATTCAGTCTCACCAAAGAAACCAATCTCTATTGCATTTCCTTTGTACTTTATTTCAATATTATCCCTAGATTTAAAGTTGAATACCCGTTGAAATCATATGAGCCCTTATTTAGGTATTACATTCACTAAAAGTTTACATTATGTCGATGTTTTAACCTGTTATATCGCTTATACTCATTCACATACATTCCTGCTAATTTGGGTGTAAATTTTCTGCCCTAATCTATATTTGTGGTTTCCCTTAACAACTAAGTAAATGTGTACAATTGTAATCTTCATTAGGATACAAGCTATCATCCCGAATGTGGCAGTTCCCAAATCCTGTTAAGCGCTAAAGAAGCGATTTCATTGTGGCTCCTTGGCGCAAGGAAGGTTTGTAGCATAACTCTTTAGACAATGAGCTCATTTATTTATCTGACCTTTATGATTTTGATTTTTATAACATTCAGATTTTGGGAACTTTTGCATTTTCGTTGCTTCTTTCTCATGCTTTGTTTTGTTAATAAATCACATTAATTTATTGTTTCTTGTTGAGGAAAAGAGCTGAAATGTTGGTGTTAATGCAATGTTTGTGTGTACTTTCCAGACTATGTATCGTCGCTTGATTGATGCACAACAATCGAAGAATAAGGTTGATCCTGAAGTGACGCTGCAATTTCTCAAAAGTGCAATTTATTATTTTCTTACGGACAAGGAGAATTCGCAGGGGCATTTGAATGCAATTGAAAGTATTTTGGGATTCTCTGATCTCGAGAAATCCAACATTGATAAGGCTAGATCTAACAAGTGATTTTTTTTACATTCTCTTTACATTGATATCCTATTTATTGTGGTTATGTATCCTTATTTGATTGCAAAAGACATTTTTTTTCGTATCCAGTGATATTCCATATTACACTATTAGACTGCTTCTGTAAATTAGTCTAGAGAACATTCGACATAACGAAGTAAAAGATAGATTTACTGAATAACACAATATGTGATTTATGAAGTCGTCAGTAATATTGAATTTATGAAATGAGCTGTAATAGACAAAACCGAAGCTACGTCCATAGAATAATTTATCACTTTAGTTTCGACAAATTGATTCGGCCGCCGGTGCCTGTAAAGCTGTAACTGTACAACAAATGCGAAAAGATTATTTTGGGAAAAGACATGATATTGTGAATGCATTTAAGATTATTATTTTAAGAATGATAACTTACATCACACCTCCGATGAAGATAAGCACTCTTAAGCAAAATCTCTATATTTAATTGTTTTTTTGGTGTTGTTAGATATGTTGGGACGCTAAATAAATTGTTGAAAATGAACACAATTACTTTTTATCTACAAGTGGAAAAAATATGTAACTCGAAGGCGGTTTTGGGTAAAAATTGAAATTGAGATTCTTGGATCGGCCGCTTTATGTTAACAGAGCGCTGCTGTAGTGCAAATTGGCAGCACTGCTGAAAGTGATAGATCAGCTGTTTATAAACAATTTGTGTTTTTTCTCACGTGCATTTTTCTTCCCTTTTCCTCAATGAAAACCCGTGAAATTCTTACCCTCCAATTCGGGAATTATGCCAATTACGTGGGAACGCACTTCTGGAACATTCAGGTTATACATTTTCGTAGAAAACTACCTGTTTTTTCTGACATTTGTTTCGCGTAGGAAGCCGGATTCCAATATGAACCCGGAGCGACTGTCTCTGAGGTGAATCACGATGTGCTGTTCCGAGAGGGACAGAACCATCGTGGGGATGTCACCTACACACCCAGGATGCTGAGCATGGATCTCAAAGGCGCTCTGGCGCACTTGTCAGAGGACGGAGATCTCTATGATGATGAATCAGCCGAAAAGGTGCGGTCTGGAAATTCGGAAGCTCTCACTCCGCAGATTCCATGGAATTCCCAGAATATTGAAATCGTGCAAGCGCCTGTGACAGAAAAACCAGCTTATCAGAAGGATTTACAGACGAGTGGTGGAGCTTCTCAAGACTACAATTTCCAATCTACTGTAAAATCCTGGACAGACTTTATGTACAGTCGCTATCATCCGCGGAGTTTGAATGTTATCCAAGAGTACAGTCACTCTGACGAGGAGAACACATTTGATACCTTTACGAATGGACGTGAATTGTGGAAGAGTGGATCTTTTGACGAGGACTTTTGTGATAAGATCCGTCAGTACATCGAGGAGTGCGACAATTGTCAGGGATTCCAGGTTCTCTTTGACTGCATTGACGGATTCTCTGGACTCTCGGCCAAGTGTTTCGAAGAATTGAGCGATGAGTACGGCAAGAGTATTCTGGCTTATCCTCTCATTCCTCCTCACATGAGAAACTTCAAGAACGCCGATACCATAATGAGTTGCTCAATTCGAGTCGTAAACATTGCATTGAGTTTCGTCTCGCTGATTGAGAGTACTTCGCTGTTCGTTCCACTTTCGACGATGGCTCAAGGATGGAGAAATGTGGCTGCAAGTAGACAATTTCCCAATGTATCATACAATCCGGAGAACGCTTATCAAACATCTGCAATTCTGGCCACATTCCTGGATACGCTTACGCTCAAGTATCGAGCGAAGGACATTCTTCAGCCACTGGTTTTGTCAGAGTTTTGTGCCGATCTCAATGCCTATGGATGGAAAATGTGTGCTGCAGATTTGGGTGAGTTAGAAAAAAAAAATGTTGGCAGTAAATTCGGGTTTTGATAAAAGCATTTCGTCAAGTTTGATAACTTGGATAATCGATCGTTTTCTGGAAAAATTTTATTCACTTTCCATACTGATTCTATTCCATTATCCACCGCACGCCATTTGTAATCTATTCATCGTGCCGTGTAAAAGCGTCGGTCCTTATTTGTTGGTTTTGTGTAAGAGTTCTTCGTGTAAAATGAACGTACAATCGCAAGTTAATACAAATGTAAACTGCACTAAATTGTCTGGATCTGTGGCCCAAGTTTGTGAATATTTGGGTGAGTAGAAGGAAAAGGTTCAAGAGTTGAATTTTTTGTATTTCATTGCCGGACTTTTCTTGCAGGTTATGCCGTCGACATGATCCTCTTTCAGCGCAACATCTATCCTATTGCGGACTTCGAGAGCACCACGATGTACAACATGCCAATGTTCCGGCTGAAGAAGAAAAGCATAGCTGACTGGATTGCTGATACTTTGACTCATGTGAAGAAGTGGCTGCTCGAGAAGAGACTCATTAGGTTTTCTTTGCTGATTGAAGATGCAAAGACGAAGAAGAAACTCGAGCGTTGGGACTTCGCTATGAATGACAATCCAGCAAATCGAGAGCTGAAGTCTGTGAAACGAATTCACATTGAGATGAGCCAGGTGATGAGGCAAATCATGGCGAGTGTCACCATTCTTCCTGTGCTGGAGGATGAATGCACATTCCACATGACCGTACTTTGCATTCCGGGCACAGTTTTTCCACCGGGTTGGACAACAACGATTGATGACTCTATCAGTAATGCCGAGGATATCCAGTTCAGGTCGATTGAAACAGGCTTTCATGCAGTTGCAGGATCAGTTCACTTCTCCAAGCCTTCCAACTCCAATCGTTCTTAGTTGCCTTGGATCCTGTCTCGAAAATTTACTGCGATGTTTTCCATATCGCCTACATTGAAGTCATATTTCAGATTAAATCAGCTTATACTCGAATAAGCTTTCAAAAGGATCATTATGTAATGAAATTTGAGTCGTTTTGATAAAATAAATACATTTCTATTTCCGAGAATCTTAATCAAGGTTTTTCTCGTCAGTTCGAATGTTTATTGAGATGTTTATACTTCAATTTCTCTGTTCGTCAGGCTTTCCATTTGATGCGCAGATTCCTGATGTTTCTGATGGATTAAATGATCTGCAGACGAAGCCAATCTTCACGCACTTAACTCCGAACAGTGAAATATCCCGTGGACAAATAATGAAGACTATGATTCGTGGTGTGCACAGATCACAAATCGCCTCAACGGATGCACGAGGATCTCACCAATCAGCGGATTTATCGTTCTTCCCTTACGGCGAAGCTTCCTTCAAGTTGCAAAGGTACTTGGAGAGTCTCAAATGTGCCAATTCCGTGCCTGTAATGACTTACCAGACGCCAATGCCGGTGAAAGTGCCTTATCCTGACGAGATTTTCTCCAAGAACATCAATGTTTCCGGTTACGAGAGTCATTATATGAGGGAAGAAGGCGTCAGAGTGTCTTCAATTCCTGTTCTGGCCGCTGTGTCTGCCACGAAGCATCTCATGGGCACAATCGACAGCCTCCACGCGGAGGCGGAGAAGGTAAAGCTGTCCAAAGTGTGTCGTTTCAGGGAGACTGGACTGGAAGCTGATGAGTATGGTGAGGTTCTGCACAAATTACTGGACTTTCGCGATCTCTATGACGATCACGTTCAATTGTAGACAATTTACTAATCAAACACGTCTGAAAGGTCTGAAATAAATATAGCATGCGAAGGAAGTTATGTTATAGCGATGCTCATCAAATTTTATGATGAATTCATAGGCGATGAAATTTGTGTGGTGTGAAGAGGAGGAAAATTAATTTACATTGAGTGTCTTAGAAGGCTTTTGTAAAGAAATGAGTATCTCATTGTATATTTTCCATAAATGCGCCTCAAAGTGTATTTCTCCCTGTCTAATTTCCATATTACCACACATAAACGCGTCTACGAGCTTCGGAGGGCGAAAGTGCGAGGGTGAAATTGAATTTATGACACGATAAAATTAATAAACGCCTTCCTCTCGTCTTCTCACCACTGCGACAGATATTTGGCCTTTTTTTCGCCCTTGCAATTGTCAGGCGGCGTATTAGAATATTTCTGCTCAGTTTTGCGTGGAGAAATTGTGCCGTAGAAATTCTATAGTAGCGAAATTGAAGAGGAAGCCTATTCGGCACAAGCTAATTCAATTTGCCTGTCTCAGAAGAGGCAATTTCCTAAGGCTCACAATGTCTCACATACAATTTGTATGCGAATGTTGAGGAATTTTAGTTGCAACTTTCCTTCACACAAGGGGTAAATAATTGTGCCGCTCGCGATTTATTTGAGTGTCTCGACTTTTAAACTTGTGCCTTTAAATTTTCACTGTTTTTTTTTTCAATCTAAGCACTATTTTTCAACATTCGTGCTTTTGCTTGGAGTATTATATATATATTCTCTGCATTTTTCATATCACTTTTTGGCGTGAATTCTCAAGGTTTGCTTTGATAATGTCTATGAGAAGGAATCTATAGCAAGATGTATGTAGCTAAGAATTCAACGTTATTATCTTGAGCTGAGATTCATTTTTTTCATTATGAGTTAAATTTGCTGAGACGCACTGTTTGTGCTTGGCAGCAAAAAACTGGTGATATCCTATATGTGTGTATGGATATTAGCATAAGTTCCGGTGTGACGTTGTTGACGACAATAACATCCAAGTTTCTAATCCACCCTCGATGTTTCCCTTCTGCTTTTGACGCCACACAATTGATGACAACGAAGAGATTATACAATTTGTTTCGATGCGCGCCACAATCTAAACTCAAAATAACCATGGGAGGAAGGGAGAAAGAATATGGATATGTAGATATCCGCACAAGCTCTTACACATACACGGTCATTAAGTCAAATGTTCTCCATTCATTTTGCCAGATGCACCCACACCATTTTTGCTATGATGTTGCCACCAGTTTGGATATTACACAGAGATTCGAAGCTCCAAATGCGGAGGAAGGGCGAGAGATCCATCTCGCTGAATGCATTTCGCTCATCGCGCTTGAAGAGAAGAGCATTGTGCGTCTAAGAGGGCTTCTGATTGGGGGTGGGAATGCGCAGAGGGCTTGATGATGTGCCAAGCCACCATTTTTTTTTATCTCACACGAGTTTGAAGAAATTTTACAGTTGAAAGCTTGCTCAAACTCTGCGACGGAGAAGAGCAAATTAATTGACGCAGAAACGATGTTTGCAAAGGAGGAGTTTTAAAGTTCGTCCCTGATTTGTCTTCCCCATAGATGCTGCATTGAATTTGACATGTTGGTGTTTCTGACACTTATCCAAGCCCACAGGGAAATAGCAATTTGGTCTGACCACGCGTCAGATATTCTCTGAACTCCGCTCTTAACCCTTTCAAAACTATGCTATGTGTGTATATAACGCAGACCACAAGGATGAAAAATATGGTGATTATTTCCAAATGACAGCATGTGTTTTGCTCGCAAATTTTGAAATGCATAAAATCTATTCATTCAGTTGACTAATTAATGAGTTGATCAACTGAATTAAATAGGAACTATGCGATCCGATTTTGCTTGATGCTGCGAGTAAAGATTTGCAAAGGATAGAAAACATTTGAACTGACCCATTTTCGCAGCTAGTGCAGTCCGAAAAATCTGTGAAATGCATTTCATTGTGATTCACAATGGCTGCGAAGCTCGGGTGGCAAACAGTGTGGCAACTAAATGGCCAACCACTAAATTCAGTGTTTCACTTGTCTGTTGTAATACAAAATCTACTACACGCTTCCGTGAATTGCACACGATTCGAGGTACATTCGCAGTGCTAGTGTGCAAGGTTTGTGTGCTCCTGAAGGGGCGACCGGGCGGCGAGTGGGTGGCCGGACGCCTCACAGTTTGCAATAATCGATTTGACCGTGTCTCTCTGTGCGGTAGTTTCCTGGAGGTGGAATGGTTTTCGGTGGGTGGCGGAAGGTGGTGAGACAGGGAGCGATGCGTAGTTCAAAAGGGGTTTGAATACACGATGGGGATAAATTGACGGCGTTTGGGGTTTGCTGCACTGAGTGACCAACATCACCATAAACCCCCGATGAAGCTCTGAGTGTGGGTAGCTTGGGTGATTATTTAGTGTGCCTAACATGAGGAGGTCGATGTGTTAAATTAAATGTGCAAATGCAATTATGGCCGCAACAGATTCGAAAATTCCTGGGTGGGAATTGTTCCTCATGGCACTTGTAGTGGGTATGAGACTTTTCCAAGTTTGGGGACATCCACATGAGCAGATATGTGCTATCGAACAATCTCGTCTGCTCTCGTCGATATGTGATAAGGGTAATACTGTGATCTGGCGGATTATTTCCTCTGTTTCGCATACAGTTGTCCAAATTACCACTTTCGGTTTGAATTGGCTCAACACTCCATTTGTGAGTGTTTTTTTTCCATTTGCTGAAATTACCGGCGATCAATTAAAATATCAGAGAAATTACTCAATTGTCGGTTTTAATCTTTAAATGCTACATTGGTTCAAAAATGACAAAGTACTCACGGCAAATAAACCACTAATGCTATATACAAACACAACACGTTAATTATGCTTACATTTTTGTTTTTTATCAATTACAACCTTAATTCAAATGAAATTATGCTTTCAGTACAATAGTTCTATGATCAGAACAAAACAGACAATTGATAGTAAACTGTCAACCGCATTGAATGGGAAACCTTTCCCTTTTCCACTCCATTTGAAATCCACTTTAGTCCTGACTAGAGAGTTCCGAATACAGTTCCATCTCGAGTCGTTTTTACTTAATATGGAAGAATTATTCTTCAATATAGGAAGCGCGAGTGAAAAGGGCTTCCTTTGCATATAAATTCTACAAGATATGGATAACAGCACAGCATTCGGAGGATTTTGCTATATTCTAGTGTTATTTTGTGTGGGTGTATTTGCAATGCCACCGAGCCAAGGAAGATAGAATGTGGACAGTGTGGAGGGGGTGATTTTGGACGATATAATTTTTTGCATGGAGTGGTATTTTATTAAAGTCTGGGGGGAAATCTTTCATCTGGAGCGACTGTGCAGCTTTGGTATGGGGTGAGTTTTGTTGTTGTGTGGTTTCATCAAATTCTATTTTATATGTAAATAGCCAGTTCTGGGTTGGTGGTGAATTGAAGGGTAAAGATTCGAAGCTAAATTGAAAATTGATAAGTGGAAAATCGAAATGTTCAAATATTTCCCTTTTTCACTTCGCATCGTATCACATATATACAGTATGTACACATTTCTAGGAAAGTGAACTTCCTTATACTAAAAAATATTAAAATTGAAGTCATACAATAATCTGCAGCTTTTCGGAAACCAGCGGGAAGAATATGTTAGAAAAAAGAGTAATTATTTTAAATATTTTTCATTTTCTATTGTTTTCCTTATCAAAAGAAAGATGTAACATTGTAGAGCATAAAGTCTAAATTTTGATCATTCCAAAGTACAAAAACTCAGAATCAATAATTCTACGATAATGATTTTATTTGTCATTTCCTGTTTTGCTAATAGACCTAAACAGGTGATTAAAAAAAAGTGCACTATTTGCCCTATTGTTAATGGTATGTAGAAATTTTACACCACTGGGAATGGAATTTGTGTTGTTCGTTAATTTCGTTTGGCAGTTCACGGGAGTTTGATTGTCCTGTCAAAAATCCCCACGGACGATGCCAAACAATTGATAATGGGGTGCCTCCTCGTGCCTCGCGCGTTGCCAATTTATCGTTGTTGAAATTTTATTTTTCACCAGTTGTGATTTCGTATGTCACTACGGGAATACATTAAATAAACTTACGTGATGTAAAAAGCGGTTGCGTTATTATGTGGAATATCTGGTGGGGAAGTGTGTGCGAGTGAACGGAGTGTGCAAGAAAGGGAGGGTGAAGGGATGAAAGGGATGGTGTTTGTAGTTTTTTTTTCATTCTTTCCCCCTATGTCACCCCATCAGTACCATCCCCATGATCTCTGTGAGTGGAGCCTGTGGGATGTGTGTTGAGTGGAGTTCAGATAGTCACTTGGGACTTGATAAATCGTAAATGTTATGTGCGCATATATTTATATATTTTTTCATTCGGTCTCTTTTTTGTTCCTGATTGTGATTAACTGCATGGTACGTGTCGTCATACAAAATTTTGCTACTTTTTGCTTAAATATGCTCACAGACCAAACAAGTTTACTTTATTTCCTCACAAAGAGTCAATTAGTAAATAAGGGATTGAAAACGATTAGATTTTATTTTCCCGAATTTACTTCCTGACGTGTGTAGAATTTTCCCATTCATACAGTAAATTTTAGATCTTCTGAAAGCAGCGTAGAACTGACGATTCAACATAAGCAAGGGGATAATTTCTTGGCAGGGTGAAGATGGAAATCCGCAATAAAAGTTGAGGATTTTTCTTTTACTGTCCCCACTTACTATTGCAATAAACAATAGAATATATAATACACTCTATTTGATGGTAGGATGACTCCCGTTTTGAATGGCTTTGGCAGGGAAGCTCCCGCTGTGTTCTCCGAGTGGATTTTGACTCGAGGATTGTTTGCTGTGTCAAAAGTGGCATGGGAATGATTTCATATGTGATATTTGTCTGAAACAATGAGTAATTCTTGGAGGATGGGCGACACAAAACGAAATGAATATTGCCACTATTGTTCCCAAGTTCTTCTGGCCCTCTAAAGTGTTTTATTTGATATTTACTATGCAGATGACACTATACATATGGAAATGACTTGCAAAAATAACCCCCAGCATTGGAGATTTGAGTCAT